GCTGAATGAGATCGCCAAGAGAAATAGTATAAAAGGAAAAAAGGGTCCAGAACAGAATTCTGCAGGCCACCTGCTTTCAGCGGGTGTGACCTGGATGAAAACCCAGTAAATGAGAGGAATAAGAGGTCAGATAGCTAGGAGAACCAGGAGAGAGTAAAGTCACAGAATGCTAGAGAGAAGAGGGTCATCAACAGTGTCACAGGCTGCAGAAATGTCAAGAAGGATGGAGAATTGAAAAAAGGCCATTAGATCTGGCAATTAAGAGATCACTATAACTTTGGAGAGAGCAGTTTCCATGGATAATGAGGTCAGAAATCTGACTGTAGAGAGTTTAAAAAAAAAAAAAGATTGAAAGAAATGGAAGTACCTATTAAAGACAAATTGTCAAGGTTAGCCACAAAAAGGAGGCTAGATATGGGATACTAGGGGAAAGAATGATCAAGTGTTGGTTTTTGAAGATAGAGAGATATGGACATGTTTGCTAGTAGGGAAACAGCCAGTAGATAGGGAGAGATTGAAGTTAAGTGGAGATGATAGATGGGACAATCTGCTGGAGAAGATGGGATGGAATGAGATCAATAGTTCATGCAGAGGGTATGCCTTGGTTAGAAGGGCCACTTCTTCATGTCAGACAGGGGTGAAGGACGAGATAGTAGTAAAAGGTATCTGGGTGATGCGATATCACAAAGGGAGAAGAGGAAGTTCTTAGTTAATGGCCTCATTTTTTCACTAAAATATGAGGTAAAGTTTTCAGTAAGAGGGTAAGGTGAGGGTCAACCATGTAAAGTTTGAGAGGTTGTTGTGGTTAATGAAGTAGTGAATTAATCATGGAGGTATAAAAGGATTGCCTTGAAGGATAGTGAGAGATCATTTGAGATTATGTAATATATATCTGTGCTATACCATTCCGCATGGTTTCATGATCTTTTTAGGAAAATGGTAGTACAATTTGGAATAAAGTTCTAAGTAAGGGAGTTGTGAGAAATCACAGAGGATTTTAAAAATCATTTTAGACTATCTTCGAAGCAATTTCCTATTAGTTTTTTGAGTAGAGAAAGATGAATCTTCAGGAAGGTTCATCTACTGGTGGTATGTAAAACAGAAGGGAGAACAAGTGGAGGAATAAGAGGATTATTGCATTAAACCACAAGGGAAATAATGAGAGCACGAACTGGGGTGGTAGTAATAGGAAGGAATGGATTAAAGAGAATGGACAAGGTTTAGCAACTGATCAGATGTGAGGGGACGAGACTGAGGAGACTGGTAGAATGGGGAAATTAAGAGGTGCTGATTAACTTTGGTATGTGTTGAAGAATAGAGTTCTGTTTTTGATAGTAGACTGGAAGAACAATGGGATGGCCACGTGGAAATATCAAACATACAGGTAGGGCTCCCTTTTCATTATACAAGTCGCTGGACTAGATGAACATAGCTATCTTCTAGCTAAATGCTATGAGCTGCCCCTGTTTAGCTTAAGCAGGTTGCTGGGGGTGGGGCGGAGGATGGTGGCCCTTTGTTTGTTCCATTGCCAAAGGAAAATCTGTGCAGCAATGGTTGCCACTTAGCAGTGGGGTCAGCAATTAAAGTGAAGTCAAAGAACATTAGAGATAAAAGAACTTTATCATATATAAAGGAAGGGTAGGTTCTCTGCTCAGGAGTCTCATTAAAAGTAAGAGAGCAGCTTTTGTGAACTTGAAGACAAGTTGCTCTTTCTGTTGCTTTTGTTAATATGAACAAAGTGTCATCTCTGGATAGCCAGCACCACCAGCATTTAAGCAGGGATTTGGCTGTGAAATAGATAAACCATAGGATGGGCTGGGATGAAGAATCAGAGGGCTCATACAAGACAGGAGCTACAAGTGCTCTCATTCTTCCATTACACGTGGGCTGTTCCAGGCCACCTCCTCTGAGAAGCCTTTCCTACTCCTCCCAGGTCAGTGTTTCATTCCTGCTCATATTGCTCTGAGGCACCTGATAAATTTATCTCCTTTGCCTCCCTCCCTTCCCATGCCACTGTATTCATCTGTTGCATTCGCCTGTCTTGGACTGGAAGCTCTTTGACAGCAGGGATTGTTCATTTCTTTTATCATTTCCAGTGTTTAACACATAGCTTAATAAATGCTTACTAAATAAATGTCCTTGCAAAGTGTCAGTTAACAAAAAAAACAAAACAGAAAAACAAAGTGTCAGTTACACATCATTTCACCCACGATTGATTCTTGGTAATAGCCGTTCCAAAGGGTATTGTTTTAATTGCCTTTCCCTAGTCATAGTGTCATTTATCTAAGCCAGTACAAGAAGTCAAATTCTAGAATCAGGACATACATCTTAAAAAAGAAAGCACATTTCCACTTATTAATCTCACTTTCAAAGTTCAGTAGAATTGGTCATCTTTAGTTCCATTTAATGCTGGTTTGTCATCAAACCAGAAGTAATTATGAAAACTATTTGATGGTCAGAGCAGGGAGAAAAAGTTAAATGTTGACTTTTTCATTATCAGAAAATAGATTATGTGATGTCCAATTGGACAGCCTGTTACAATACTTGTAACTGATCTTCTAAAAAAGATGCTTTGGAATGGAGATCTTCCTAAGGTTTTCCTTAGTTGAGGCCAAAGGAAACAACTCCTTGAATCTACTTGTGCCCTAGGGACACAACTTTGGTATATCATCAAATTATCTCTTTGAAGTCCTGAGAAGACAGGCAGAATAGAAGAGGAGAGGGAGGACGTGAAGTTTGGATCAGGTAATAGGTGCTTACTCACATGTTGATTTGGGAGATTTTTGTTTGTTTGTTTGTTTTGGTAAGGCAATCAGGGTTAAGTGTTTTGCTCAGGCATCACACAGCTAGTGTTAAGTGTCTGAGGCCCAATTTGAACTTGGCTCCTCGTGACTCCAGGGGCAGTGCTCTATCCACTGCACACCCAAGCTGCCCCTTGCGAGAGTTTTGTTTTGTTTGTTTTGGCTAAGCAATGGGGTTAAGTGACTTGCCCAGGGTCACACAGCTAGTGTTAACATGTCTGAGGCTGGATTTGAACTCAGGTCATCTTGACTCCAAGTTCAGAGCTCTATCCACTGCACCACCGAGCTGCCCCGAAATAGCAGGTTGGGATCTCATTTTATTTTGTTTTTTGATGAGGCAATTGGGGTTAAGTGACTTGCTCAGGGTCCCACAGCTAGTGTTATGTGTCTGAGGCTGGATTTGAACTCGGGTCCTCCTGACTCCAAGGTCGGAGCTCTTTCCACTGTGCCACCTAGCTGCCCCTGGGAGATACTTTTGTCTGACACTAGTTTTGTATGAGGGAGCACTATCAGCACTTGATTGAAATACTTTCAACTGTTTCTTAGTCATTTAATGCTACAGGTGAAGAATTCACTGTAAATCTATTAGATCTGTTTTCAAGGCAAGTCTCCAAATGCTCTAAAAGACTGTGAAAATATGATATGGTATGAGAGAAGGACCCATCAAATATGCTAAAAGACTAATGTTCTTGAGAAGGCGGAGAGGGTGGGTGGGTGAAATCTGTCTTTCTAAATGATGGCTAATATGGCAAATAGTATAGGGACTAAAAATAGAGCTGTCACACTGTTACACAAGTTATTCATGCTGACAAAATAAGCAATGTTTACATAGAGGGAAAGGCACCACAAGGAGTCAATTGGATACTGGGATGTACTGCAGTCACTTTTTGCTACAGTCTGGTAGCTATATGACAGGCTCATCAAATGAAAACAATACTACTGCTTCCTGAAGAAAGTTGTCTGAATTCTTTTCCATTCAAGTTGATATTAATAAAGTAGGACTCTTTGCTAATTATTGTGGGAAGGCAGGCTCCCCTGGTTAATTAAACCTGTTCTTGGTCAGAGCTTATACATGTAGTTGAAGGTTCCTTATAAAAAGAGACAGAATACATCAGTGGGTGGGAGTGAAGGATTAGGAATTTGACATCTTGGATTTTGAAGCCTAATTAATTTTTAATGTTACTATTTGGCTGTCACTGCCAGCCCAAGCTTCCGTGGCTTATTGTTTGGGTTTTGATGGCTTACAATATGTGTACATAGCAACTGTTTTCTCTTCTGGCCAGAAACTTTGAGGGTCTTCCCCTCCCAGAATGATATTTTTGTGATGGTCAATTAGGCTATGTTTTGTCTCAATTCTTACCTAGCCTTTAGTCATTGAATGAGTGTGGTCTCAGGCAAACTGAGACCTGGGAAAGACCTTAATTTAGAAAGCTGAAGGTCACCCACTGCATCCCAGCCATTGCCAGTCATCTTGACTTTTGTCTTGCCACTGGACTTTGATGACTTTGGAGGAGAAAGTGAGGCTGATGACCTCGGGCAGCTCTGCCTCACTTAAATCCAATTCAAGCTCAAGTCAAGACATCACCATCGGTGATGTCACTGTTCCTCTTCGAGAACTAAGGACAAACAAGTTGCCAGCAGTAAGGCTGAATTAAAAGAGGGCCAGGATTGAATAGTGTCAAATATTCTGCTTTCCAGAATCTAAATGTAGAAAATTTATCTGCATACAGAGGAAATAAAGTAGGTGGGTAATCAAGTAGTCTGGTAAATGGAGACAGTATTCCAAACACCAATTTAAAAAAGAACTTTTATAACTAGCTTTAAACTTATTTTAAACTTCAAGATTCAATTACGTTTACTGAGAACTTAGTTTCTTGGACTGGAAAAATTGGGGGGGGGAAGGAGGGAAATAATTTTTCTCATTCTGAAGTTAAGAAGCTCTATTTTCATGTGGAAACTTCCCTACAGGCTCTGTATTCCCACAGTAAATTTTTTTCCCATGTACTGTTTTTACAACTATAAGCATAAGTGGATTTAGACATGACAATGGAGAGGTTTTATTCAAAACTAGTTGACTATAAATGACTTTTAGATTTTTGTATTTGTGCACTCCTTACTGAATAATTCAAAGTTAGACTAATGTAGAGTTCAAAACATTAAGTTACACTTCATTGATAATATAATTCCAGCAACACCGTGTGCATTCTATATTGCCTTTATTTTATGAAAAAGCTAATTCAAAACCTACATTAACTATGTGAATACAAAGTCCAAACTGTGAAAGATTGGCCTCGTTTATAAAAACAAAGAGGTGAGTCTTGGTCAGTTTCAGAATTTCAGGAATGGCACTTCAAAGGGTTTTGCATTGGCATGTTTCAGTGCCAAAGCATAAGAATAGACTCTGGCATCCACCTTGAGATGTTCATCAGCTACCAGGTCTATAGAAGGCAAACAAAACTAGTGAGAATATAGAAAGACAATTGTCCTACCCCATCACGTTATCATTTCCAAAACTATAGAAAAGAGAATATTAAGCACAGAGGGCGTTTAAGTGACTGCACAATCAAGGATCAGAAGAATACAGGTTCTTCAAAGGTAAGGATAAATCAAGTATGATGGTAACTGTTTCCCTTGCCTTTGTTAAAATACAAAACTTTAAAAAAAAAAGCTACATCTCCTATAAATGTTCCATTACAATTACTGTGTAGATCCTAGCATATTATACAGACCTCAGACACTGCTGGGATTCACATGACCATCATTCTACCTTGGGCCCTCATCACCTCCCCTGTGGACTTACTGCTAGAGCCACGAGTTAGTTGGTTTTCCTGCTTTTAGTTTCTTCCTTTTCAATTCCTTCATCTATAGAGATGTCAAATTAATAAGACACAGGACTGTACTTATTACTATCCTCTCAAAAAGTGTTAGTGGCTTACTATTGCTTTAGAATAAAATACAAACTCTATAGCCTAGAATTTAGAAGCCTTCCCAATCTGGCTCCTATCTATCTTTCCAGACTTATTTCATTATCATTTCCCATCATGTACTCTATGTTCCAGTCAAATGGGCCAAGCCTAGCTCTTCCCCATCTCCCATGAGGCCAGCTCCCCTGCTAGGACCTAGCTTAGGCGCCATCCCCTAAGTGAAGTCCTTCCTGATCCCTGATCACTCTTTCCCCATGTTACCACTTAATTCCCTCTCAAATAACTTTGTATTTATTTATCTATGTACATGCCAAAGCACGCAGGGTCTTAGAGGCGACACCCTGCTTCATTTTTGTTTCTCTGTCCTTGGTGCTTTGCATACAGTAGGAACCTTAATAATATTTATTGAGTTGAATAATTCTGAAAGGACCAAAAAGCAAGATGGCATATCTAAGTTAGGGATTTGTGTCTTTTGCTGCTAGAGCACCTATTTTTTTTTTTAACCTAATGAATAAACTGCTAGATGGGACAGGATTCACTTAAATTTACTCATAGAAGTATGAGGTCTTGGAGTCTTACTGCATTAGGCATTGCTTAATGAGGAATGTTTTAAATGAGGATGGTCACCTTTTATCTAGGTTTCATTTCCTCAGCTTTCTGCTCAAGAACAGGTTGCATGAATTCATGCCCTATCTTTTTTTTTTTTTTTTTTTTTTTGCATAAGGGTCCTATCCATAAATTGCTTTGGAAAAGGACTTGGCCTTTCACTCCAATCATTTATATGGCAGGAGGCCTTTTTATGTCTGAATATTCAGGGCAGCAACAAAGAGTTGAGAACCCCCAGACTTAATTGTAAATATAAAAAGCAAGTAGGAGGGTAAACGATGTCCTTGAAGAATGTTTACCTTAAAATTCAGAGTTCTGTAATGATAAGAAATCTCACTGAGATAAAACTGCCTAAAGAATAAGAAAAAAAAACTAACATGCTTACTAGCAAATTTTAACAAAGGTACTCTTTGAACCCATGAAAAGCTGGAAGTCATGAAAGCTCCATACACCAACTTGAGTTTCTTCAAATAAGATACTTTTCTCAAGTCTTTATTAAAGTTCTCAGGAATAGAACGAAGGGCTTTTAGAAAATGGTAGAAAATGCAGAGTTGGAAGGTACCTCAGTGGCCTTCTAGTACAACTAATTGTACAACAAGGAGGAGGATTCTGTTGATTTTTATGAGATGTTCAATATAATCTGTACAGGGAAATTCAATTCAATAAACATTTATTAAGCACTCACAATGCACCAGGCACTGTGCTAAGCACTGGAGATACAAAAAGGGGCAAAAAAATAGTCCCTACCCTCAAGTTTATAACCTAACAGGGGAGACAACACGCAAATAAATATAAAAAAGTAAACTTTACACAGAATAAATAGTAATTATAATTAAAAGAGGGAAAGCACTGGATTAAGAAAAACAGAAGTAGCAACATGGCATAATGGAAGAATGATGAGGGTGTTGGTCTGGCTCCAGAATAATTCACTCCGTACTTTTACCGTGGGCAACTGTTCCTCACTCCAAAAATATAGCTAGCGAAGTGTCTGAATTCTTCAGCCTGGCTGCTTTAATTTAGCACTAACTTGGAGATTCTGGAACCGTTTCTAGCTCAGTGGTCATTTAAAGGTTTTTAAAAGTATAGCAATTGGGAGGTCTTTGTAAATAGTGCCACAATTAGCTGCATACATGCTTTTTATTGTTTTTCTTAAAAAAACAAACAAACAAAAAACAACAAAAACAACACAAAACAAAACCAGGAAATGTAAAACATTAAAAAAAAGAAAACAATTTTAAAGAATGACATTTTTTAAGGCATAGGTTGTCATTAGGTTAAAAAAAAAAAGCAAAAACATCTGACCTTTAAAAAGGCTGATGTACTCATCTTTAGAAAGGAAAAGTACCCATCTAGACATCATGTGATGCAATAAAACAAATTCAATATGATCATAAATTTAGAGCTGAGAGGGACCTTAGAAGTCATCTAGTCCCACCTTCTCACTTTACAGATGAGGAAACTGAGGCCCAGGGGGCTAAATGACTTGCTTTAAATCACACAGACAGTAAATGGCAGAGGTGTGATTTGAACCCAGCTCCGACTAAAAATTTCACCACCCCCAGCACTGCACTGTGCTACCTCCAAGGTTTCTCTACTGATAAGAAAAAGCAAGTTCCCTGATATGATAAACAAAGAACCAAGACTGTCCATCCATCCATCTGGGAATGGAGGTGGGAACATAGTCCCTTGCAATATGGTTGACAAAAAAATCCACATGTAGGGTGTCTCTGTCAATGGGAATTCAGGCTGAAGTTTTTTTGTTTTTAAGAAAAAAGATATATAGTTAATTATACTACCATTTCTACAAGTTTCCAAAAACATGTAAAGGAAAACAAGAAATGTTGGTTATGTGTAGTTATCAGTTTTCGAGATATTTGACTTGACGGAAGCTATACAAAGGAATTTTGAGAATTATGCTCAGTAGACTCAGGTGTGAGAGAGGAGGAATAGAGAGGTCTGAGGGAGTAGAATCTAGGGATGTAGGCACAGTTAGTTGGAAGTAAAACTCTTACCATCAATTCTCTTCAGTAGATCATTCTTTGGTAAAGAAACTACTTCCACAAATTCTTTAAAAAAACACACACAAAAAGTAAGGTCAAAAGATAACAGCAACAATTATGCCTGTTAGCCAACTAGAGTATCTGTAATAAAATGATTATACTTAGCCATAGAGCAGTCATTGGTAAATAAACATACCTCCATCTCCTGAAAAACAAAACCCAAAACCATAAGATTAAAAAAGTGTTTAGTAAAAACTAGAGGTGTAACACACTGCAAGATGATTTGGCAGAAGAATGTACAAAAAAGGGGAAATTTAACAAAGGCCTCTGTGTATCTATGATAGTATCTCACATCATATGTTCCTAAATAACTTACAAAGTGTTTTCTGAGATATGCCTTTACAAAAACAGTTAAATAAGCATTAATATATCAGTCAAAATGGTGGTCCCTGAAATGCAGTTACTATGAGCGAACTAGAGAACCTGAAAGATCAAGTACTAGTTCTAAACAAGAGCTTGCAGCATGGTTAATACATACATACATACTCTTTTTTTGGGGGGTAGGGGGTGGGGGCTTTTTTTGGCTAGGCAATGGGGTTAAGTGACTTGCCCAGGGTCACACACCTACTAAGTATCAAGTGTCTGAGGCCACATTTGAACTCTGCTCCTCCTAATGCCAAGGCTGGAGCTTTATCCACTGCGCCACCTAGCTGCCTCCATATGTACTCTTGAGGTAATGAGAGACTAATATTTAGTTTTTAAACAAAAATAATTTTCTAGAAAGAGAACTGCAGGGCAAAGAACTTTATAACCTCCTCAGGGAATGCTAATGTCAGAGTACTGTCAGAGCAAACGGAAGTGCACATCCTTACAAGGATTTTTAAAAACGGCTCTAGTATCTTACAACACACGTAACTAACTCAGGTTAAGTGAATAGACTAGGAAAACATTTCTAAGTACTTGTAATCCCCAATGTTCTGTGACTGTAATCCCCAAGGTCCTGTAAACTGGACCTTATTCTAGATAGAAATCATATATATATTAAGAAACTCAACATATACAAAATGTTAAGTTGGTCAGACAACAATTAAACAACCATAAACAATAAATATGTTGATTTAGGAGAGCTGTCACAAGTCTAATAAAGTATCTATGCAAGATTTTATTCATTTAAATAGTCTGAAAGCAGCTGGCATATTTCAGTATTTAGTACTGTTCTTCCTACCACTTTAAAGAAGAGTGAATATAAGCTCACCAAGCTTTGGTTTAGGTCTCACGTTTTCAGCATCATCTCCATTAATCATCACAGTCACTATATGTGTGGTACAATTTGACAAACCTGGGTCCATGCATACAGCTAAGGAAGAAGCAGCAATGGGTTACTACAGCATTCTCTTCCTCCTTCTTGAATATAAAAGCCAAATGTTCCACTCACCTGAAATTCCAAAGTCAGGACAGAACCCTTAAAACAATTTTCTACTAGTGTTATAAGCAACTCTGGAAGCAGTCACTTACTTTGCCCATAGTAAGTAGCAATACTTCTTGCCATGTAATTAGTAGTGAAAAGAAAGAAACTGTCTTCTGGTGGACTTTAGTGAACAGTGTGAGCAGGCGAAACATTTGTCACAGTATTTATATGCACACTCACAGTGCATGCTTGTATGACTGTGAAATGGCTGCAGAAACTTGCACCAACATATGGCTACGGTATAAAATTGACTCCAGTAGAGTTGGAGGTGGTAACTTTAAATGAGGATGAGAAGGGAAAACTGGCTAAAACTACAAGGTAACAATATCCTTGTGTTTATCTGGCTCAATCCTATCCCACACTAGGGAACAAAAACAAACAGCAACCATCTAAGAAAATCCCACTCTTAGAAGCTTAGTATGTTGGCAGGACTCAGTGAAGAGCCATTGGGAAGGTAAAATAAAAAAAAAATTAAACTGTACAGACAGAATGGTGAAAGGAAATGGAAAAGTCACAACCAATTTTCAAGTCTGGTTTGCTCAGTGTCATAGCTGTTCCCCAACTCCCATGGCCACCTATTTGTTTAGATATACTTATTTAGACATTTATTTAGAGAAAAAGACTAATTTGTTCTGAGAATTTCTCTAAAAATGAGTTTTTCTACTTGAAATGCATTTGAATTATTTTTAAAAATATCAAGAGTTTACAGTTAGATTTTGACTAGGTTAAAAAAACAAAATGAAACAAACCTATCCCCAAACATTTCAGAGAGGATAATAATACAAACCTGGGGAACATTCAGCAACATCACCTTTGTAACCAGTTTCTTCCTCAAGTTCACGAAGAGCGGCTGTCTCTGGGCTTTCATTGTCATCTATGAGACCTGTCAATCAAATGTTCGTTCACGTAAAATTTCAGCCTCTAGGAGAGACTCTGCTCCTTCCCATGTAGCCCTTGGTATGGGGATTTTGTGGGAAATAGTCTTTACACAAGACTCATTCAGGTCTAGTCCTTTGATAGAAAGGTTAAAAAAAAAAAGTATAGTTTGACTAAGTTTTACCTGCACATGTCATCTGTTTATTTGAGTTTGCTATTTCTCCTGAATGGTAATATACCACATGAGTCAGCAAAGCCTACTGGCAAGGTCAATGAGCTGGTGGTTAAGAGATGTGGATCCCACTCTTGGTTCTGCCACTAACTATTTTACCTTAAGCACAGATATGCTGTGAACTGCCTGTTTCCTCATCTGCAAATCAGAGACTGCACTATCTGTCCTGCCTTTCTCCCTCACAGGGATATGGTGAGGGATCCTATGGAAGAGCCAATATGGCTGCTACCTGTGAGGGAGAAGAGAAGATAGTGAGCTAAGCATTGGTGGACATAAGAGGATTACTATGGGATGTGAAGGAAGTGAGTTGGATTTAGAATAAAAGCATCAGGAGATATCTGGGACTGAGTAGGAATTAGAAGATGAACAAAGCTTGAATGTTTACCCTTGTCACTCATACTAACTTGGGGCATGAAAAAAATCTGCACAAAACAGAAGAAAATGGGGACTAGAGAAAATAAAAGCAATAGCACAGGAAGAATCACGTTCAGTTGATCTTCGATATCCCCAATTTCTGAAGTAAGATTCGGTTCAATGTTTTTTTATTAAGTGGAAGACACTATTCTAGGTGCTGGGGAAACAGACAAAATGAAAAAAACAAAAACCAATGTGTATTCTTCCTATGAATAAATAATCAAGATACAAAAACAAGCAGTTTTCAAAAGAAGAAACTTAAGTTGCCAATACCCTGAAGAACTGTTTACTTTCTAATCAGAGAAATGCAAATTAAAAGTTTACGGTACAACCTCCTTACAGCCTTCTAAATTGGCAAAAAGAAAACTGTTTGAGGGGAAACAGGCACAATAACACACACTTCTGGCGGAGCAATGAATTGACCTTCTGGAAAACAATTTGGCAACATAAATAAGAGTTAACAAAAAACAACCAAACAACTGATCATTCCTTTTGACCTAGGAATCTCACTATTAAAACCACAGCTGATAAATATTATCAAATGGGGAAACAAAAAGACCAAGTAGCAAGAAGCTATTATTAAAGCAACTACAAATATTTGGGGCTATATAATAAACTCATCTGTTCAATAAATGGGAACAGTTGTATACATTGAGATATGTTATTAGTATATCAAAAGAAATAACAACTATGGATGCAAAAGAATATGGAAAGTCCTAAATGGAGTGATACGGAGGGGAAAGGAGATATTAGAATACAAATAATTATAGACAAAGAAAACAGGAACAAAATCTGATGAGATATAATAGAATAAAAAGAAGAGGACAAAGAAACAAACAACAAATGACTATTTTGTAAAAGTTAATAAAAACTCTTCCCCAAATGAAAAGTGAGATAAAAAATTAAAGCTCTTTAATATTTTTAATAGTGTTAATATATTATAAAATGTAAAAAAAATATGAAATAACGTAATATTATATACAATACTAAGAGAATAAAGTACGTTAAAATAATTTATTAAACAAGCTGAAATGAAAGGCTTTAATTCAAGTCAATTATGCCACTTTTCTACAAGAACTTGATAGCCCTAAAGTATCTTTTTTTCTCCCTGATATTCTTGAAGTTGGAATGAATAATCTGGATGCTACTCAATATGTCAGGGTGGAGAGAAGGAAAGACATAAAACAGGTTTCAGATAAGGAAAAAAGAAAAATATGGTGAAGGAGAATAGTAACAGGGCAGAAAGGCTATATTAAGTGAGGGTTGTGAAGAAAAAGATTATCTGGAAGGCAGGAAGAAATCACATGCCTTACCTTGACTGTGGGCTGGAGGCACTCAAGTACCTTCCTGTAGGTGGCAGTGTGGTTCTGCTTTCCACTTGCCTGGACACAGAAATATTCTGCTTATGCCACAATGAGGTTTCTCTTATAAGTAGCTAATTAGTTCTTGTGAAACAATAACAAAATCCTTTTCTTCTGTTACTCACCTGCAGGGAACTCTAAACAGTAGCCTCCCATGGGGGGTCTGAACTGCTTCACCAGGACAATGCATTCATAATGAAGAGTTCTTTGTAACACTGGGATAATTGCCACACCTACCACCAGGAAACAAAAAGGACAAATGCCTATGAAATATTACATACAATTTTTGCATCAACATTAATTTGTAAAACTGGTTAAATAAGTAGTCTTGCTTTGTTTAGGCACCAGGCCTATGTGTGTCTCAAAACAAGTTTAGTAGAGTGGTTTTGTTTTTTTTTTTAAAGTTAAAAGCCCAGTTTATTACATACATGCAACAGCAGGTGTCCTATGGACTAGGACACATTGCACCAAAACAGGCATTCACTATTTATCTCTAATCCCAGCCACAAAGTCTCTCCTCTGTTTCCTCACTGTCTAAGTACTCCAGAGTGTACAACTTTCCAACACGCCTATTACACATCTACTCCTTGACAGGTCTTTCCTCCTTCTTAATACATCCCATGTTCAAAAAATAGCAACTTAGCCCAGTAGAGTGGCTTTTAACATAAGAACTGTTAATTCAGTTTTTCCTCCTCTTCTTCTGAGTCTTTTGACCCTCTTGAATCCTCTGCCAATAAATGTTTTTACTTTGTTCATCTGTTAATTCTCACATCCTGTTAATTTATTTTATAGAATATTTTATTACATACTTTCTTTTTTCCTTATCTAGGAGCAGTCCCAACACCATTTCAATTTAATTTATGAATGTTTTCTTCTAGCTGACTGTAATATTTGTTTTTCAATTTGTCCTGCACTTTAGCTATAATGTTTCTTGTTAAGCTCTGAATTTCATATTATGTATTCTGCGGATTCTACTGGAATTTTGCCCTTCATTCCTATTATTTCTATGCAATTTTCCTGAAATGTAATATTTAGGCTGTTTCTCTAGAAACTAGAGATTGCCATAAACTAGAATAACTAGAATTCCCATAAAATCTCTTAGCAGTCCATTTTCCAACTCAATTTCCTTCATTTGTAAAACTCTTGTGTCATATTCTTTTAGTCTTCTGGTCTTTTGATTTTGTTCACTTGATTCCTCTCCTAACTCTGACTTTTCATACTCATCTGTTACATTCAAAGAATCTTTTTCCCATATGTGTTCTAAATTCTCTCTTCTCTTATTAACATTTAAAATAGTTCAAATTTTTTGCTTTATATCTTCTTTTTTTTTTTTATCTGAGGCAATTGGGTTAAGTTAAGTGACTTGCCCAGAGTCGCATTTGAATGCAGGTCCTCCTGACTCCAGGGCCGGTACTCTATCCTCTGCTCCACCTAGCTGCCCCATTTTCTTTTAATTCTTTTATTGATCTTTTTAAAAAAAATTTTTATTAATTTATTTTGATTTATCAACAATCACTTCCATATGCTTTTAAGTTTAAAAACTTTTTCCCCCTTCCTCCCCACCATCCTCCCCAAGACGGTGCACAATCTGATATAGGCTATACATTTACATTCCTATTAAACATATTTTCACACTAGTGATGTTGCAAGTAAAAATTAAAACCAATAGGAGGAACCATCAGAAAGAGGAAACAAAACTCAACAGAAGAGAAAAAAAATAGCAATTCAACTTCCATAGTTCTTTCTTTGGATGTGGATAGCATTTTCCATCACGAGGCCGCTGGAGATGTCTTAGATCCCTGTATTGCTGGGAAGGGTTAAGTTTATCAATATTAGTCATCGCACAACGTGGCTGTCATTGTGTACAACATTCTCTTGGTTCTGCTCACTTCACTCAGCCTCAGACCATACAAGTCTTTCCAGGTTTTTGTGAAGTCAGCCTTTTCATCATTTCTTATAGCACAACAGTATTCCATTACATTCATATACCACAACTTGCTCAGCCATTCCCCAATTGATGGGCATCCTCTCAATTTCCAATTCTTTGCCACCACAAAAAGAGCTGCTATGAATATTTTTGTACATGTGGGTCCTTTTCCCATTTGTATGATCTGTTTGGGATATAGCCCTAGAAGTGCTATTGCTGGGTTTTTATTGATCTGAGTCACTCTTGTGGCATTTCCTTTACAGTTCAAGGGCATCTAGGATAACATATTGTAGAATTTTCCCTTCTTGAGGATTTTCAAGACAAATTTGTTTTCCACCGTAGTATTTATTCAATGTATTGGCTTCTTCTTTTGCAGTTGTTTGCTCAGTTTTACTCGATTATCAATTGTTCTGTTGGCTTTTCGACGATGTCCTTATTTTAAGTAAAAATGAAATCAAGGACACTGAGAAAAGGTGGTGTCATCACCAGAAATGATGTAGTTAGAAGGAAGAACAAGTTTTTAAGGGAAGATTAAGTTCTGTTTTGGACATGGGTAGTTTGAACCATCCAAAGGACATACAATTGGACACGTGGGAATAGAATGGAGCTATATATGTAGATCTGGGAATACTATACAAAGAAGTGATGACTACAATCATGGAAATAGATAAGACTGGTAAAAGACAGGATGCAGACAGCAAAAAAGAGAAGCGAGTCAAGGATAGATTAGGGGGTATTCACACTGTGGATAGAAAGGAGGAGAGGAGCACTAAGAGAGATTGAGGATAGAGATTTGACAGAGATTTGTATTCATACCATCAGCAGAAAGTCCTTCTTTCCTAGTAGTACGTTTCACAGTTTCCCAAGTTCTGTTAAGAGAGGAAGGGGAAGAAAAAACAAATAAAACATTAAAGCTGAAAGCAATAGATTAGCTGTATACCATTCAGAGTTTTGCAATTGCAAAACATGCATTTTTATCTGGAATGGTGGTCTAGAAAACCGGAAAGATGCTTAGTTTTTCAGAGAGACACTTGCAATTATAAAGTTGCCTTTTGAAAATAACCAAGGTCATTACTACCAAGTTTAGTGAAACAGCTGATGTTTCATGTGATACTTGAGATCAAGGGTTCTTAACCTAAGTCCATGAACTTTTTTTCTCAATATTTTGATAATTATATTTCAATAACTGATTTTCTTTGTCATTCTCTATTTTTCATGCATTTAAAAAGATTATTGTGAGAAAAGGTCCAAAGGTTTTACCATACTGCCAAGGGGGTCCCTGATGCCAAAAAGGTTAAGAACCCCTGCTTTAGCTACTAATCTAAATAGCAAGCCTGCTGGTTGCCACAGCCAGAAAGTTTCATATCATTCACAGCCCAAAGGGCCTTTAATTAGGGTCATACATTTGTCAGTGAATCATGCTTCTCAGTTCACAAGCAATGGTGACAGGTGAGGATTTTGGCTTTGGGGGAAGTGACATTATAGAAATATTAAAGCTTCCTTGAAAATTCTCCCTTTGCCCACCTCTAGAAAAATGCCCAGGAGAAATGTCTGAAGGACAGACATAAGACCTTCTGATTTGGTTAAAAAAGAAGATGCCTGAACCCACTATTTTGGTCCTCACCCTTAAGACAAAGATAAATTTTCCTCACTTTACACACACAGACTCTGCACAAATAATCAGGTCTCTAATTCAATAAAGTGAAGAGACTTGGAATTGATGTATTTCTGACTTCAACACTAATGAACAATTTGATTGCCATGCCACTTGCCTTAGGTTCTGTGTAACACTGTAATTATCTTTTATTTTTCCTCCTAATAAGAACAGAAATTGTTATACAGAAAACTCAGGTACTATAACAGTCAAGCAGACTGCCTACACAAGAGGGAAAAAAAATTCTCTTTTTCCTGCCCCAAGGCTTATCCTTTGACGGTCTCTCTTAAAATGGAGGTGAATCCAGGAAAGTCAATGCAGGAGATGAATACAGGAGGCTAGATGGCTTAGGGAACACTGCTGATAGAAATGAGGCCCTGGGGATTTAGGATGTTATGAGGGATCCCTTACATTAATGTGAGAGGAGCAGCAAGACATAGAGTTCTATGGGGTAGTCAGTCTCTCCATTTAAAAAAATCCTTCTATCCCTATGTGCCTGTTGGTCTTCTGCTTTGTAGCATCAGATAAATCAGTTAAAGAAATATGAAGAAAGGGGCTACACAATCATAGCATTCCTCAATCAAATTCTGAAGTGAAAACCATGCACGATCAATTAATAATAAAAATAAGCTGCTCCTAACATCTCCATACTCCTGTTAGTAGGAAAAGAAAAGCCAACCACACAAAAATCTTTGCTAAAAGTAAACAGAAAGGGTTGCAACAGAAAGAAAAACCTTTGATACAGCTCTCACTGCTGCCTCCTAAGGTCAGTCTTAAATAGACTGAAGGAGAAGGTGCTAGGAGAGGCACTGAGGACGCCAGCCCAAATGCTCTAGGAATAAGGGGAAACAAGAGGGATAGTGTCATTCCAGTAACAACAACAAAGTAAAAAAGCAGTTATGAATGTATCTTTGCCTGACAAACCAGTCTCCTTGTAGTTAATAATAAAGAGAGAGACTAGAGTAGGAATGCCTGTGTAAATAAAAGATTTGTGCCCAGAAAAATCTTGGAAGCCTGGTTATATCTTAACTCAGATCTTCAAGTGGTTTTGAGGGGAAAAAAAACCCCAAGCAAACACTCAGTGCCTCCAAGTAGACAAACTTAAGTTCTAACTTCAGTTATCCAACGAGTGGCACAACTGGGTAAATTACTGACTTTCAAGCTCAGTTCCTTCATCTATAAGATTAGGTGAAAGATATGTTTCAGCTAAAAAAAAAATTCCATGATGCTAAGAGCCCTGCTGTCTAGTGTCCTTTGCAATATAGCAAAGCTCTGAGGTTCTTTTCCAGTTCAGCAATCATCATGAGATGCAGAGAAGGACAACTTTTAAGTTATAAATTATACCAGACAGAGTAGCAATTAAGGAGAAGTATTTGCCAATATTAACTATGTCTCCAGGTAGTTTTTTTTTTTTTTTTTTTTTTGGTGAGGCAATCGGGGTTAAGTGACTTGCCCAGAGTCACACAGTTAACGAGTGTTATGTGTCCGAGGCCAGATTTGAACTCAGGTCCTCCTGACTCCAGGGCCGGTGCTTTATCCACTATACCACCTAGCTGCCCCTAACTATGTCTCTAAAATTATAATTTGTCCCCTTCATCTTTTTTTTTTTTTTTTGAGGCAATGGGGATCAAGTGACTTGCCCAGGTCACACAGCTAGTCAGTGTTCCAGACCAGATTTAAACTCAGGTCTTCCTGACTGCAGGGCTGGTGCTCTATCCACTGTGCCACCGAGCCATTCAAAGGAGGTTTTCTCATCTTATTCTTAACTTCCTTTGATGTGATTATGTATGCACATAGTGTAAGTTTCTTGAAAAAAGAAAAGAAAAAAAAACACCCCAGAGTCCTTAGATTTAGTTTTAAAAGCATTAAATCAATAAGTATTCAGTACAATTTTAACAAGCATTAAGATACCTAAGTACTAGGTATTAGGGTCTGAAGACACAAATATAAAGAATGAAACAATTCCTATTCTCAGAGAGTTTAATATGTTAGAGGCTGGGTGCTATGGTACAAAGTTCTGAGATTTCTGCCAAAGTTTCACTAATTGGTGGAAAGGAGCCACAATCATTAATGCAAGGAACTACATTATAAACATTTTACTAAATTTTCAAAAATTTTAATTTAGAATTAGTGTAATTTTTTTTTACCCAGTCTAATATGATTATACTACTAGTTCAGGCAGCCAAAAACTTAAGTTACTTTTAAATTTTACTTCAGTGGCATGTTATGCCATAATCACAGAGAAGAAAGTGAGATTTGAACTCACTTTAAGTGAGTAGAAAGTATGCTTTTAAACTTTATTTAGGCCTTTTAGAAGCTAAATATGCCATTAAAATGAAAATAACTGATTGACCAGATTACCTCTTATGTGTAATATGAAAATACATTTAGAATGAGAGAAGTATTTATAGATTTGTCATGAATAGATTCTCAGAATACAAGGACTGAGCATTTCTTGAGTAGGAAAATTTTTTTTTACCTTGTTTTACCAGTGGGATCCACATAGGTTGTTTGTTCAAGCTTGACCCATTTTCCTTCTGTAATCAGCTAAAAGGAGGTAAGAATAACAAATTGGGAAAATTTCAAACCAAAGAGTGCTTTTATTGGGACAGAAAGGCTTTTTCTGGTCAGTCTGAGTAGAAAGCCATTATAACCTAAGAATACATCCTCTTAAAAACTTTCTACTTATGGATCTAAAGACTGTCTACAAGCTCAGATTTTAAGCTTGCTTACCCGGAGAAATAACATTATTTCTTGGGGGACCACTTGAGAGGTTGGGGAAAAAAGATTAGGAAGTCTTCTGAATTCATTAGGCTTGGGAATTGATTACTATTTTTGTTTGATTTGTTCTTAAGAACAAACAGCTGAGAAAGCTATATTGGAATGCTGATTATGGGGGGTATACTTTATATCTAATGGTTGGACTTGTATGATCCAGGCTATTCATATACAATGTGCATACCAGGATTTTTACTGCCTACATACTTCATTGTGGGATTACGATTATAAAATCTAATTTACTTCTGGTATATTTTGAACTAAGAAGGAAATCTATGTACATAAAACAGTATACTTTTCTTATAGTATTTCTCTTCTACTTTTTGCTAGCAAGAACCTAATTATCTCATGAATAGATCAGTTTATAAACATGATAAAGACATTTTTAGGGCAAAAAAGGCATCCTGGAAGGGTACTAGGATCAGAATTCTCAGAATGGTTTTAAACTTATCCTTGGGAACCTTTCCAAAAGGAAAGGATTAATTTGAAAAACAACAACAAAACAAAACCCAAAACAAACACCCACCAAAAAAAAAAAATGATGAACAAACATCAACCATACATTATTGCTGGAACTCAGTGCCACATCTGACAACTACTTTAGGTCTTTAGTGTTCTAAAAAACAGTGTAAGCAGGATTACATAGGTCACCAACTTCATTTGTCAGTCACCCCTCAAACTGCTACTTGACTCATTCTCATATTTAATCTTATCATTCAGAGCTCTAGGGTAACTCAGGGGTATGTTTATATTTCCTCATTAATTAATAAAATTTCAACATCTCTTTAAACTAAGTTTAACGGCCCCATCTTAGTTTATCAAATACCTTCTTTCCCAACAACAATTAATGATATCTTTATATAAAATCCCTTAAAATTACTGAATATGTAATTTTTAACAATGAAATCAATAATAAAATACTTATTTATTCAGGATGACAATGGAAGGTTCTTTTAAGTATTTCTCAGACCCTCAATCTTAATAATTTCTATCCAGATTAATTTTTATAAAATTATCTTTAATATTTCTTCAGAAAGTTATGTCTAACAAGAAAAAAGTTCCTCACCTTCTTTTTCTGACTTTTCCATAGTTTATCTCATAGATCTCACTGATCAAAGTTAAATTCTCACACATTCCTTCACTTCATAAGAATAAAGAGGTACCTCACAGAATGACAATTGCACCCCTGATTCTTAGCTTTTCTCCTTTTAAAAGAGACAGTAAACAGTTTACATAGCCTCTATAGGAAAGGCTTTTGAAACAGGGGCTTACAAGGGTAATAGAGGAATTATGAATGGTTTAAGTCTTCTAACTCAGTAAACAGTATCCAAAATGATACTAAGTCTTAAGTTAGTTTGCCTAAAATGCATCCAGTGTATTACTTAATAAAAACTGAGACTACTACCATGTTACACGTCAAAAATTTCCAGAGGTTTATTTCACCTTTAGTTTCTTATAGGGACAACTAAAATAATAGGCATACCACCGTTTCCATAGTAAAGTAACATCTGGATCTTAAAAAACATCTCTTTGGAATTTTATCCTCATGTATTAGGGGTAACCATCTGAGGTAAAAAAGATGCAGCAATTAATATGGAAAGGTGAAGAAAAAAACTTTGTACCTCTTCTGTTAGGATAGATTCTTTGGTAACTTTATGAGAATCCACAGGTGCTTTGTTTTCCATTTTCAAAATATTATGTGGTCCTTGCTGTCTTCTAGTAAGTTCACTCTATAACAAAACAACATTCTTTTAGGCTAAAGTTAGTTTAATTTTAGACCATCTCTTCTAAATACTCCTCATTTAATGTCAAGGAAATCACCGAAAGATCTACGCTCAAAACTGCTGGGAAACTAATGAATGGGAATTTATGGAGAAGACAAAGACACAATTATCTTACCCAAATATAAGTACCAGATTGATATCAGCAGATTATACAGTATTATACGCGAACTCTAAATGTACTGAGAAAGACCTGGTTCCTAGCCTAGGACAACTTGATATATAGCATAAGTTCAACCTTTCCAGTTTAGTCGTAGCTTCTTGCCAGGCCATTTTAAAAAAACTGTCGTTTTTGGCAGCAATTTCCAGGACTGGTCAGTCAGATGATTTCTTAAAATTGCCAACTTTCCTGGAATCGATCCAATTAAAAAAAAAAAATAAGCACCTAGACTGCTATTTACTAAAAAAAAAAAAAAAAGTTTATGGCAGAGTTTATTATAGTTTTTTCTTACTAGGAATTAACTGATTCCCAAAAACTTTCTAAGTAAAACATTCCATTTCTGTTTGGATTTTTCATATGCCTGAACAACTAATATAATTTTTGGAGGCAACAATAAAAGAGTAATTCTGAACAGATAAGACAAAATTTTTTTTCAAGAATAAGAACTCCCTTAAAATAAAAAAGCTGAACATGTGTATCTCAATTTCAAATAAATATTGATGATCAGCATTTAATGTTGAGAAGTGAACAGCAGCATCAAGAAAACCAAATTAGAGCTTTAATAGTTATTATCCTGAAGTCTTTTGATTAGATCCTTTCCTGGTGGAGGCCACCCTGCCTTCTCCAGGAATGTAAGCTTTGGTAAGTCCTAGCAAGTGGAAAGGTTTAGAATCTGAGCTGGATGACTAAATGTATCTGTTTGGAGAGGAGCAGTTTCATTAAGTTCAGATAAACTCATTACTAAAGAACTGGTTAGTAGGTAACACATTTCTTTTTAGTTCTAGCTATTCAAAAGTGGGCTATGGTGCAGAGGCATTGTCATTTGTGGCTAATAATATACCCAAGTGAATCACAAATATTTAAACAATTCAGATAATTCATTAATTATGGAACAGATTATGTATATGTATAACTGATTGGGAGATTTTGATTAAAATAATTTTTTTTGTCTGCTACACAGGCATTAGCACAGGCTAATAGATGAGACTGAAATACTAAGAGAAGGAGAACCACCATGCACACACATCTGGATGATTACAATGCATTTGTAGATTTATGGCAGTTGGTCAGAAGTAGCCAGTGAAGACAATGATACCTCTTCTACTGAATTTTATAAGTCAATAAACATATAACACACTGGCATATTCAGATGCTTCCAAATTGCTTTATAGACTATAGGGCTTTCAATTATACTAGTTTAGGTTTTTACATAACAAATCCTTGCTAGACTATCTCACATAGGTAACATATAATTAAAGTTCTTGGGGGTCAGATAAGTGAAGGCAGAGTATCCCCACCTGCCCCAAAATAAGATCCTAACTTTTCTTTCTAAAAGGACTAGTCTTCAAGGTACATAGAACTTTAAAAAATGTTTAGTGGATTTCAATATACATATTCAATACACATATTGTTTTATTTTATTACTAAGCTTTTGTGACCTTTTTCCAACTTCCTAGCACATGAAGATCAAGATTGAGATATACTCAAGGAGTATTAAAATTTCTAGGTTTCACGGATACAAAACTAAAAATGAAAACAATCCCCATCATCAAGGAGCTTAATTTATTGGGAGAAATAACAGGAACACCAAAAAGCAAACACAATATACACACACAAAGTAGACACAAAGTTATTTCTGAGGGGAGGGCAAAAGAATTAAAGTAGCTTTCTCTAAGAGGTGGCCCTTGGGTTGGGCTCTGAAGGAAACTTGGGATTCTGAGAGGGGAAGGAGTGAATTTCAGGCATGGGGTAGGGGGAGGGTACAGCTTGTGCAAAGGCATGGGGATGGGAAATGCAATGCCATGTACATAGAACTACAAGTAGGGCAGTCCGTCTGGAAAATAAAGGGCATGAAAGAGAGTAATGAGTAATAAAGCCCTGAAAAGAAGACTAAAGCCAGATTGTGAAAGGCTTTAAAAAACAGGAGTGTATATTTTATCCTGGAGGCAAGAGGGAGGTACTGAACCTTCCAGATGAAGGGAGTGGCATAGTCAGACTTATAAAGATTAGATTTAGGAATATTAACTCAGCAGCAGTGTGGAAGACAAGTTAGAACAATCAAGAATTTCTTCTCACCTTTGCCTTCCCCATAGTTTATCTCATAGATACTCATTGATCTCTCACATTCTCCCCCACTCCACAGGAAGAAAAAAAGGCACCTCAGAATTGGAGTAACCACTGTAATTCCTAGTTTCTCTCTTTTCTCTCAGAGACCAATTAGAAGGCTATCATAATAGACCAACTGAGAGGTGATGAGGGCCTGAACTGTGTGAACAGAGAAAAAGGGGATGGATGCTGTATAGGTAGACTTGAACCAACTTGGCAACTGAATGGATCCACTGGGTGAGTGAGGAAGAATCCTGATGATTCTGAGCTTGCCAGCTTAGTGATTAGAAGGATGGTGTTATCTTCCACAGAAATGAGGAAGGAAGAAGGAATGGTTTTGGAGGAAAGATCAAGAATTCTAATTTGGACATGTTGAGTTTGAGATGCCTTTGGGATATCCAATTGGATATATACAACAGGTCTGATGTTCAGGAGAGGAGTAACCAGTGCAGAGAAGATAATTGGACCCAAGGGCTCCAAAGATATCACCAAGAAAATGCATAGATAAGAGGGCTTAATGCAATTTAACCTGACAGTTCAACAATGACTGAGGTCTACTTTGCACTGGAGTACTGTGGAAACTACAACTGTCTTTAACAAGTAGGATTTTTTTTTTGGGGGGGGGAATATTCTTGCAAACAAGACATTCTAAATTTGGTATTATATTAGTCAACCTAGCCAACCACTGACTGTTTCCAGTGGATAGCACGTTGGCTCCCTAGTACAAGTAGAACAACTCCGAGCACATCAAGAAGTGGTGAAATTGAGTTGGGTTTGGGGGCTGGAGGGGTTGGGAAGCAACAGGGCAAGAAAGAGGAGAGAAAATCACCAAGCAACACCTTTTATTTGTGACTTCCTAGAAGCCAAAGTTTTTCTTCCTTGTGCTAATGTGATGGTGGAGGGTAGACAGGAAATTCTGAGGTGCTAAGACCTGGTTCAGGGACAGTTTCCTTGTTTCCACCCTCAAAAATATAGCTGATACTGCATAATTCGGGTTGTGTTGTTAAAAACTCATTTTCAGAACTCTGTTGTGTAATAATTTGTAAATGTGGGATTAGCCTTAGATTAGATCCTAAATCCTTTTTATTCCCCCAATCTAAGAATTACCTTCCTGAATGTATGGGCTAAACAAGAAATAAGCCCAGTATGCAGTACTTTAAAGTTTATAAAATGGTGTTAATAACCCAGTGGGGGTAGTTAAGTAGTACAAGTATTAATATCCTCATTTTATAGAAAAGAAAGTAGAAGCCTGGAGAGGTTAACTGTCTTTTTTTTTTCTTTTTCGGCTAGGCAATGGGGTTAAGTGACTTGCCTAGGGTCACACAGCTAGTTAAGTGTCAACTGTTTGGTCTGAGGCCAGATTTGAACTCAGGTCCTCCTGACTCCAGGCCCAGTGCTCTATCTACTGTGCCACCTAGATGTCCCGGTTGATTTGTCTTGATCACATGTTAGAGATTTCCTAGAATCTTTTTTTTCCCCCTGACATACTGGCACCATAATACTTTTAATAGCATAGGACATGGTTGAATATTATTGGTGACTATGGAACTCATACTCTAGTTGTGGGAAGATAAGTAACGATGGGGTAGGGAAAAAAAGACAGAAGGCCCTAGGCCCTAGAAATGACAAATGAGTGGTACAGACAATTAAATGTCAATAAAGTTCAAAGAGAGATCATTGTAGGGAGAAAAATCAGAGAAAGCTCCAGGGAGGAGGTGAGAATTGAAGTGAGCAGGAATTAAACAGATGAAGAGAAGGGCACGAATAAAAACTAAGAGCTACTAACATGTAAAGGTATGTTTAGGGGGAAAGTAGACCAGTCAAACTAGAAGAGTGGGTTCATGTCTGGATGTGGCAGGAAGCAGTTGAAAAAGATTGTGAAAGGCCTTGCATATCACATTAAGAAGTTTGGATTTTTATCCTGTAGGCAATTAGTTTTTGAGAAGGCATGATGAAAGTGCTATTTTAGGAAAATTAATCTGTCGGCAGCATATACGATAGATTGTCCCCACCAGAAAATATCTAAACGGCAAGCTCTAGAATCTTACTCTCTAGTGAAGAATAGAAGAACGTATTCATGTATTTGATTAGCACCAATGAATCATGAGGCTATGTTTGATTCGTATGGAACTCTGAATCAAAATACCATAGGTTTGAATTCTGATACCACGTGGCTTTAAGTAAATAATTTCAATTCTTTGAGCTTCAGTTTCCACATTACCTGTACAGTACCAGTGATTCTGTTAATGTAGGAACTTCCTGGAAAGGAAGCCACCAATTCTTAGAGATGCCTAGGGCACTGAGAAGTTAAGTGACTTGCCTAGGGTCACACAACCACCTTGACTACCTCGTAGATTCATTCTCATCTATAACATGAGCATAATACTTGTGATACTTTACAGAAATGTAATTAAAGAGAAAAACACATAGAAAGATGAATAGTTAGCAATCACAATCTAACAATTTAAAGAATAGTGCTAACAATTTTTATTAGAATCCCTAAAGTTGTAAATTTTAATAGCTGATTAAAAGTACAATACTTGGACTATGCTTAAAAACAACAAAATTGTATATAAGTTATATAACTTAATATACTCTATACTAATAGGCAAAAATACACGTTTTGTGTATCAAATGACTTTACCTCATGGAAAAATAGGGGGAGCTACAGAAATTAGTGTCTGAAAGTAAGAAGCCAAACTGTGTAGAACATATAAATGTCCATAGCTATTTGTCTTGTTTCAGTTTAGGAAAGTCTAGCTAAATTCCTGGGTCTAGACTTCTAGATCCATTCTGGTCCTAATGGTAAGACTTGTTTGGGAGCTCTGCTCATTTTCCAGTAAACTTAAAATGTAATGTTCAGAGCCATTCTTGACCCTAAGAGGACCAAAATCCCAGAGGGGTGGAATACTATTGTGCTATAAGAAATGAAGAGCAGGCAGACTTCAGAAAAACCTGGAAAGACTTATATGAACTGATACTGACTGCAGTAACAGCCACACTGTGTGATGAATACCTTCGATAGACTTATCTCGTCTTAGCAACACAAGGATCTAAGACAACTCCAAAAGATTCATGATGAAAAATGATGTGCACATCCAGAAAAAGAACTATGGAATCTGAATGCAGATTGAAGCATATTATTTGCTCTCTCTCTTTTTTGTTTCTTTTTTCTCATGGTTTCTCCCATTGGTTCTAATTCTTCTTTACATGACTAATGTGAAAATAGGTTTAATATGAATGTAGATGTTGAGCCTATATCAATTTACATGCCATCTTGGGGTGGGGGGAAGGGAGAGATGGGGAGAAAATCTGGAACTCAAAATCTTATGGAAGTGAATGTTGAAATAAATAAATACATTTATTATAAAAAAAAAAATCCAGGGGGAGGGAAAAGGGGGGAATCTACATTGGCAATTCTACTGTCAATGTATAACAGAGCCAGTGAAAGAAGATCTATCTACTTTCACATAGCATCATCCCATTCTAGGGAAGAAAAAGAGATCTAATATGAATCAAAATTATATTTTAAATCTTATGATATGGCTATCAGGACACAATGTTTTGGGGCTAAAGCTGGGAGATAAAATGTCAAAAAGCAAATTAGTAAATAAGTGAGAATTTAGATAGTTCTGACTGTGCTAAAGCAACTTGAAAATCATTAAAGGCTATGCTTCACTTGCCTTTTTGAGGCAAGGAACAAATGATTTATACATACATTATGCTTAGCCACTAGCCTACTATATTCAAATTAGTGTTTGAACTTTCTGTATATGAATTTTTAAAAACAACACCAACTTTAAACGGTATAGATAGCATTGCCAAAGGTTCTTTTGCAGGAAGCTTACTATCAAAGTGAAATGAAACTGCTAAAATTTTATCTAGCTATCTATATCTGCATACAGATATATTTTATATGTCTATGTATGAACTGAATGGGGCCTTGAATATCCTATAGTTTATGTTTCTTAGGTTGAACCTAAGATATCTAAACCTGCCTAAGACATCAACTAATCCATGACCACATTATGGAAAATAACCTTAAGGAAGACAGAAAATAAAAGTCATTTTGATTTTCTCTCCACCTTAACATAACTATGTTGTACTCTCATTGAACCTGAATGTACTGACTAAACATTTACACTTTTAAGGGTATTCTCTACTCGGTTAAAAAAAATTCCTAATTTTATTGAACAAAGGATGCTATTACTTCATATACTCATAATACGGTATATTAAAGGAAAATTAATCAAAGAACTACAAATTAACATACAAATTGTGCTACGTGTTGCTACCATACCTATATATTATACTTTGAGAAAAGAACAGGATTTACCCTTCTTAGTCAGACTTGATCTACTTGGGTCACTTCTGAATATATATTAAACTCAATGGATAGCATCTTTTATGAGACGGAAACTTCCATCATTTTCAATAGCAAACAAAGCTACTGACCTCAAAGAAGACTCCACAGCTTATTTCTGTTCACATTTCTGTTTAACTGAGTGATCACTAAGCAACTGAAAAAGTAAGACAGAATTATACCATACATCCATATATTCACACTTTAGTCACTGAACAGCTGACCGTAGAAAAACATGCCAACTCAAGAAAGCTTCAGCTACCCCTGTCATTCTCTTAACTATTTCTTCATCAACTTTCAATTCGACAAACAAGTTAAATGTCAAAGGTCTAGAGTTTGACCCTACTACCACAATCGTGATTGATAAGGTTATCACACTAGAAGACCAAGGTTATGGATATAATCTATCTGGGCTTTAACTTTAGCAAAGCATTAGATAAGGAATCTCAAACTATTCTTTTTTCCAGAATTAAAAAAAATTAATTTTATTTTCAGGTTCACATTTTCTCTCTCCCTTCCATCTTTTTCTCCCTCATCCTCAATTAAGAAAGCAAGGAAAACAAACCCACGATGTATACTTAAGCAAAACATATTAATGTACCGGTCATGTAAAAAAAAAAGAAAGTCTCAATCTGCACTCTGGGTCTGTGCCCCTCTATCTGGAAGTGGACAGCATCAAACTATTCTTTTATAGAATCTTGAAAAGTATGGAATAAGTCGTAATAAGAATTAGAAGGATTAAAAACTGATTGAATAGAAGGATTTAAATAAAACCCACAACCATTTATTAAGTACCTATTAAGTCCATGAGTCCTTTCCCTCAAAGATCTTATATTCTAAAGGGGGAGATAACATGTTCATATATAGATATATACAGGACATATACAAGACAAGAGAAAGGCACTAGGTGCTAAGGGATCTGGGAAAGGTCTCATGCAGAAAGTGAGTCTTGAAGAAAACCAGGGATTCCAAGATGTGGAGGTAAAGAGAGAGAAAGCGTTCTCTGGCATGGGAGACTCAGTTAGAAAAGCACGCAGGAGGGAAATGAGGAATCTGTGTGAGGAACAGTAAGTATGCCAGTAGGTCTACGGCTCCATCGAGAGGGTGAAAGGGACTAATGTATAAGAATACTAAAAGAAAAGGCAGGAAGGGGCAGATTGTGAAGAGCTTTAAATGCCAAATAGAGGAACTTCTATTAGATCCTAGTGGTAACAGAGAGCCAGTAGAGTTTGAGTGGGGAGTGACAGTCAGAGCTATGCCGTAGAAAAAAAAGAACAAAACCCTTTGACAGCTGTGTGGAGGATAGATTGGAGTGAGGAGAAAGCAGAGGCAGGAACCCAAACAGGAGATTTGCAACAGTCTAAGAGTCCAGGTGAGAACTGTTACTTGTTCAGTGTCAACTTGGCAGGAGATCTCTAGTGGAGTGCCCACTGGCTAGCTTACCTGGTGCTGTGCTGTTTAACATTTTTATCAGTGACTTAAGGTCAGAAATGCATGCTCATCAAATTTGCAGATGACACAGGCAAGGAGGAATAGGTAATACAATAGATAGCATTTGGGATCCAAAATGATCTTGACTGGCTACAGCACTGGCCTAAATTGGATGAAATTTTATAAGGATAACTATCAAGTCTTACACTTGGGTTAAAAAAAAAAAACAACTTTACAGGTATTGAATGAAACCTGGTTAGGCAGTAGTTTGAAAAAGATCCAGGAGTTTTAGTGGACTATTAACTCAGTGAGTTAGCAATGTGATGTGGCAAGCAAAACATCTAATGGAATCTAGGTGTATAGCGAAATCTATAGCTTCTGGGTATAATGAGGTAATAATAGTCTTTCTGATCTCTGCCCTGGTCAGATAACTTCTGGAATACTGTATTTAGCTCTGGGAACCAGAGTTGAAGAAGGGCATTGGTAAGCTGGGAGTGTCCAGAGGAGAGCAAAGATGGTGAAGGACCTTGATCTATGTCATGTAAAGAGAAGCCGCAGGAACTGTGATGTTTAGCTAAGAGAAGACTCAGAGGGCGTATGATAGCTGTGTTAATACATGTGAAGGGCTGGTGTGTGAAAGAGGGTTAGATGTGTTTGGTTAGTTCCCACAGGGCAGAAATAGGAGCAATCGTTAGAAAGCTGCAAAGAGGTAAATTTAGGCTTGATATCACAAAAAACTTGCTAGCAATTAGAGCTGCCCAAGAGTAGGCTGTTTTGGGAGTTTACCCATCCCAGAAAGCCCTTTTAAAGTATAGGCTGAATGCTGGAGTATAATAATAATAAACAGTAACAACAACAATTAGCACTTTATAGTGCTTTAAGGTTTGCAAAGTATTGTGCAGGTCATCTAATTTAACACTCAAAACGACACTGCGAGGTAGGTGCTTCCCTTACATTATGAGAAGGAAAGTGAAACTGAGAAAGATGATGTGACTGGCCCAGGGTCACATAGCAAGTAAGTGTTTGGGATGGGTCTTCCTGGCTCTAAGTCCAAAGCTGTCTCCACTGCTTGACTGGCTGCCTCCATGGGATATAGAATTCTATTGTTAAAGAATCTTAGAATTTATAATTGGAGATAATCTCAGAGATAACCTAGTTCAACCCTTTCAGTTTAGAGATAAGGAGGCTGAGATCCAGCAGGGTACAATGATTTGTACAAGGCTATAAAAGATAGTAAGTAGCGGGTCTTCAGAAGCAAAACTAAGTACACTTCCATAATACCAAGCTGCTAGACAACTATTACTTAGATAGAGGGAGGTATATGGAGGGAAAAGGAGGAGGAACAGCCATCTCCTCTCCCCCCCCCACTCCTCATAGAATATAGAAATATTGAGATTTAATATATTTGATAAAGAATAGTTCCTCAGCTCACAGTCTGTCCCAAGAAGAGAAAACAAGTATTTTGCTGACATACTAGTGAGAGATGATTTAGTTATAAAGATGATGGAACACCAAGGGGAATGATTTATAAAGTAGGCATACTATTATGATATGGATATTTTAGAAGTAGAAAGATTAAACCAAATGGTACAATCTATGGGCAGGTCATTATATGTCAAGAGTTGTGGTGAAAATTCCATACCTAAAGTGTACTTTGTCTACATTAGCAATGCCTCAGTTTGAATGCAGAGTAGGGCATAGTGAGGCCACAGGTTCCCCATCCCTGCCATAAACATAACTTTTAAGGAAAGCTATAAATCATTTCAGTCGTATTATGACAGGAAAAAAGGCTTAGGGGCTCAAAATATCTGGAGCTAGAAGAGATCTTTGAGATCATCTAGTTCAACCCTATCCATGTTACAGAAGAGGAAACTGAGGCCCAGATAAGAGAAGTGACTTGTCCAAGGTCACGCAAAAAGTAGTAAAGTTCCTTGGCCTCAATTCATGTTTTCCCCTAAACTACCTTGCCTACTTGACAAACTAAATCTATTACTACTTAAAAGCTGTTGCTAATTAATACTACAAAGTAAAAGATAAAAGATATAGAAACCATACACAGTTTGAAAAACATATAATTAACAAATACTTGAATAACTGTGAATGGTAATTTAATACAGTAACCTCTGGTTAAAGTACCAGTCAGATGTGTGAAATTTGATTAATTAAAATTTATTCCTTATGCTCTACATAAGTGTGTAAAATACTTCTTGCTGTCCAACATTAAGTTTTTTTTTAATTATAAAGCTACTACCCATTCGCTCAAATATTTATGGAGTAATTATCACATGGTAGGGGGAGGCAAGGTAAATGGAGAGGGGAAGGATGCTTATACAAAGATGAGATAGCTTCTTTTCTTATTTGGGTACCTATGTAATAAGAGAAGGAATATAACTAAAATGTGCCTCGAAAGCTCATAACAAGGAGTTAAGTTACCAAGTACAATCACATCATGATTTTAAAGTTTTATTTTGTTTCAATTTAAAATGACATTATTCCTAATTCAAATAAAATAATTTTTTTTGGGGGGGGAGCATGTGTAAGGTATTGGCTCCTTCTCACAAACTAAATCGGTTTATTAAACTTTTTGCTTCTTCTGTCCCAAAACAACAAAAAGAAATTGGATGAAATGAGAAGCATTGCAAAGCACTTAATACAGTTCCTGGCACATGGTAAGCACAATATAAATGTTAGCTTATCGGGAATCTGAGTCACCCATACAAAACTTCCCATAGAGCACACGTTATTGCCTGTAAACTGTTTTGCAATTTTGTATCTCCGAGGCCATGCTCAGCCAAACCATTTAACAATAAAATCTAGAGATTAAATGGGGCCACGGTCGTTACAAATGAGCAAAAGTCAGACTTCCCCAAGGCTAAGTAGAGTAAATGAATGGGAGGTGTTGGTGCAGAGGAGGTGGTGCAGGGGGAGAGGAAGAGGACAGATTATCTCCTGCAATAGAAAAATGCTCCCTCCTTTTCCTCCAACGATATCTGTTTTCCTAGAGTGGTCCAGATGTGACCCCAGCCCTGAATAAGCACCTCGCGCCAGCATTTTAAAGGGTGTTTCTTTCCTCCCCTGCCTCCCCCCCACCCCAGCACCCCGAGCCTCTGCTCTCCTCCTCTCCCTCTTCCCTCCCGAAATCGCAGCGCCGACAAGGGCAAGCACGCCCACCCGCTTCGGACCGCAGGAGACGACTCCGTGCAGAGACTGGCTGTGGGGTGAGTTACCTGCCCCGAGGGGTGTCGGGCGCTGGAAAGAGCGTCTCGGTGGGGAGGATGGATGGAAAGTAGGGGGGGGAGCTGCGGTTGCAGGCGAAGCCCGTGCCAGCGTCCAAGTCACAGCTGCCTCTGGCCGTGAATGGAAGTGTGAGCGCGGGCCGCCCTCTCGGCTCCCGTACAAACCGGGCTTTGCCGCGGGGGGCCGGGTGGCTCGGCGCTTTTCTTTCCGGGTCACAGCGACACGGAGGGGAGCAAACTAGATGGTGAATGTCTTAATTGTCTTCTCCCTCCTCAGCTTCTCCAAAACCTCTGACTGAAGCTGCTTGCCCTTCCTTGGGCTTTTAGAAGCGGCCACACACCCCGACCTTTTCCACTCCACGTGCCTCTTCCATCTCCTCTCTTCCCCTCCCCACTTCCTCTCCGACTCGCGTCACTGGACCGGAAAAGTGCACGACCAAAACCGTCCGGTTGGCTTTTCGGAGCTCCTGAGAAGGCCGTTCCGGGTGGAAGGAGCCGAAGTAAGAAAATTCGGAGGCGGCGGCGGCGAAAGCATCAACATGAAGAAGGAGCAAGTGCTCCACTGTCAGTTCTCTGCTTGGTATCCTCTGTTCAGGAGCCTCACTATCAAGAGGTGAGACGGGCCGGGAACAGGCAGGTACCTCGACCCCTTTCGCTGCCATCTCTCCCCCCTCCCCACGCCCCCTAAGGAATGGAGGAGGGGAGAGACCCTGGCGTGGCCTTTGATTAGATCTATGGTTAGGTCTAGGTTTGGGGACTGGAGTAGGGGCCCAAAGTGGGGAGGAGGGTGTGGGGACGGGAGGTGGAGGAAGAATCCAGACTACGTTTGACGGAGGGGGTTGGGGGTGTGTGTGTGTGTGTGCATCGGGTGTGTGTGTGTGCATCGGGTGTGTATCGGGTGTGTGTGTGTGTATTAATGTCCTGAGACCTTGAAAAGCATGCCGTCCACTGTAAAGTGATAGGACCTTATAAAGTGCTACAGTCCCTTCCCCTCCCCTCAACCTGCATTGCTTAGGCCTTGTGCCTGGCATCCCTTCTAGAGCTTTACCTCGGACTGGAGGCCAGGATACCAGCTTTGGCCTTTACTTAGCTGTGTGACCCAAAGAAAGTTAAATTTAGTTTTTTTTTGATCTGTAGATAATGATATCTAGCCTGCCTACCTCACAGGGATCCAATAAGATAACCTATGTCAGAACACCGGGTGAAGTAGAAAGTTAAGCTATGAATGAACGATGGGGGTGAGGTAGTGAGAAGTAAAAGAGAAATGATTTTTCCAATCAGCAAGATTGGAAACCTTTTCCAGATTTTGCAGCGTGGTTTACCTGCTTGTTCTTCCATTTGTCTGATCTCTCTTAAGTCACAGAATTGCAGAATTTTAGGGAAGAGACTAGCCTATATTTGAAAAGGAATCCCAGCTACTATATACCCAACAATTATTAGTAAGTTCCTGCTCCATGTCAGCTACTATGCACAGTGCTGGGGATGGAAATAACAAATGACAGTGCCTTTCCACAAGGAGCTTACATTCTATTGGCATACACATTCACAGATAAGTAAATATTAGAATACATACAAAATAAATAGAGGCACGGAGGGGAAACTAACAACTGGGGGAATAAGGGAAAGCCTCTTGAAGGAGATGGCACTTGAGTTGAACTTTAAAGTGAGATATTGATTCTAAGGAGCCTTAAATGTGTCACTCTTGATCAAGAAACTTCAAGTTGCCTCTAGGATAAATTACAAATTCTTCAGCTTGGCATTTAAATCCCATCACAATTTGTGAATAGAAAAGGGCCAATGAAAGAGCTTTGGAGGTTACCTACACTTAAAGAGAAGAACATGGAGTTAGCAAAAGAGACAGAGCACCCCACCACAGGGCTGGAAAAGGGTATGTGTGTATATCATTTTTCAAAAAAAAGGGACAATCTGGAGCCTTCAATTTATAGGTCAACAAGCTTTACTTCAGTGGTTAGTGAATATCTAGAAAAGGAAGAATTGTTCACAAAGATCTTCAACAAAGACAGGTTTATCCTTTACTTTTTTTCTGAATAATATTTTATTTTTTCCCCCACTTACATGTAAAACAATTTTTAGCATTTGTTTTTTAAAATTTTGAGTTCCAAATTCTCTCCCTCCCTTTCCTCCACCCTCCTTGAGATGGTAAGCAATTTGATATAGGTTATACATGTGCAATCATGCAAAACATTTCCACATTAGTCATGTTGTAAAATAAAACACCAAAAAAAAAACCAAACCCACAAAAAAGTAAAAAATGGCATGCTTCAGTCTGCATTCCGAGTCCATCAGTTCTTTCTCTGGAGGTTGATAGTATTTTCATCATGAATCCTTTGGAATTGTCTTGATCATTGTATTACTGAAAATATCTAAGTCATTCACAATTGATCGTAGTACAGTATTGCTGTTATAATGTATACCATTCTCCTGGTTCTAGTCACTTCACTTTGCATTAGTTCATGTAAATCTTCCCGGGTTTTTCTGAAACTTCTGTGCATCATTTCTTATAGCACAATAGTATTCCCTCACAATCACATGTTTTGCTATTCAGCACTTGATGAGCGTCCGTCCCTCAATTTTCAATTCTTGGCCACCATGAAAAGATATATATATATATGTGTGTGTGTGTGTGTATATATGTGTGTGTGTGTGTGTGTATGTGTGTGTGTGTGTGTATACACATACATACACACATATATATATATACATATATATATATATATATATTTTGGTACAGATAGATTTCTCTCCCATCTACCCTTTTTTAAAAAAATCTCTTTGAGATACAGATTTAGAAGTGGTATTACTGGATCAAGGGGTATTCACAATTTTATAGCTCTTTGAGTATAGTTCCAAATTGATTTCCAAAATGATTGGATCAATGCACAATTTCAACAGTGTATTAGTGTCCCAATTTTCCCACCTCTTCTCCTCATTTTCCTTTTCTGTCACATTAGGGAATCTGATAGGTGTGAGGTGGTACCTTAGAGTTGTTTTAATGGGAATTTCTCTAATCAATAGTAATTTAGAGTATTTTTTCACATGACTATAGGTAGCTTTGATTTCTTTGTCTGAAAACTACCGGTTCATATCCTTTAACCATTGGGGAATGACTTGTATTCTTATAAATTTGACTCAGTTCTCTACATATTTGAGAAATCAGGCCTTTATCAGAGATACTTGCTGTAAAAATTGTTTCCCAGCTTTCTACTTTCCTTCTAATCTTGGTTGCATTGGTTTTGTTCATTCAATCCCTTTTAAATTTAGTACAATAAAAATTATCCATTTTGCATCTTGCAGTGCTCTCTATCTCTTATTTGGTCTCAAATTCTTTCCTTTTCCCTAGATCTGACAGGTAAACTGTTTCATGCTCCCCTGATTTGCTCATGGTATCACCCTTTGTGTCTAAATTGTGTACCCATTTTAACCTTATCTTGGTACAAAGTGTAAAATGTTGGTTTATATCTAGTTTCTTCCATATTGTTTTCCAGTTTTCCCAGCAGTTTTTGTCAAATAATGAGTTCTTGTCCTCAAAGCTTGGATCTTTGGATTTATCAACCACTATGGTCATTTACTACTGTGCATTGTATACCTAATCTATTCCACTGATCCACCACTCTATTTCCTAGCTAATACCAGATAGTTTTGATGATTACCACTTTATATTACAGCTTGATATCTGCTACTACTAGGCAACCTTCCTTCACATTTTTTTCCATTAATTCCCTTGATATTTTTTACCTTTTTTTCTTCCAGATGAACTTTTTTTATTATTTTTTCTAGCTCTAAAACAATTTTGGGGTAGTTTGATTGGTATGGCACTGAATAAATAACCTTTTCTTTTACTGATGGGGTAACTGGAATGGTAGATGAGAGGAATGCTGTATATATAGATGACCTAGATTTTTGTGAGGCATATGATAGTCTTTTATATTCTTGTGGCCCCAGTAATATGAGATAGATGGGTATTGAACTGGTTGAATGGACTAACTCATTGTAATCATTAATGGTTTGATATCATCTTGGAAGAACTTTTGTGGAGTGTACCAGAGATTTGTGCTTGGCCCTGTGCCATTTAATCTTTTTATCTACAACTTGACTAAAGGTGTAGATGACTTGCTTATCAAATTTGAAGATGATACAAAGCCAGGTAGGCTAGCCAACACTGAATGACAGGCTCAGGATCCAAAAATATATCAGTAGGATAGAATGTCAGGTCAAATCTTATCAGATAACATTTAATAGTGATAAAAGAACTCACAAAAGTCCTTCTTGGATGTCTTGTTTTTTAAAAAAATTCAATTTTATTTTGTTTTCAGTTCTGAATTATCTTTATACCCTCTGCCCCTTCCTATTGAGAAGGCAGGAAAAACAACCCATATGTATAGTCATGCAAAACAAATTCTGGCATTAACCATATTGAAAGAAAGAAAAGAAAATATGTGTTAATATGCACTGTGAGGCCATCAGACTTTCCATCTGGAGGTGATTAGCATGTTTTATCATTAGCCCTTTAGAATTAGAATAGCCCTTCATCATTTCTTACAGCAGAATAGTATTCTGTCACATTCATATGCCTTAACTTATTTAGACGTTCTTTGACGGGCATCTGATGCCTTATTGCTGGTTTAATGAAATTAAAGCTCGGACAGATTGTACCATGCTGGTAAGTTTTTGGGTAAGTTCCTGGTGACAGATTGTTGATGTCTTTTGAACACCAGCCTAGTCAGTCAGTCAGTCAATATTTATTAAGTACCTATTACATGCCAAGTACTGTGCTAAGAAAAAAGAGGCAAAAGAAAAGTCCCTGCCCTGAAAGAGTTCACAATCTAATGGTGGTGACAACAAGCAAAAAAAATGCACAGACAAGTTATATGCAGAATAAAGAGAAAATAATTAAAAGTGAGAAGACACTGGAATTAAGAGAGATTGGGAAAAGCTTCCTGCAGAAGATAGGATTGAGTTGGAACTTGAAGGGAGCCAGGGAACCCAGTAGGCATAGATGAGGAGGGAGAGCATTCCCCAGGTATGGGGAGACAGCCAGGAAAAAATGCCTAGAGCTGAGAGATGGGAATGTCTTGTTTGTAGAACTGCAAGAAGTCCTCAGTCACTGGTGGGAGTAAGGTATAAGAAGATTGGAAAGGTTGAGGAGGGGAGGGTTGTTTGGTTATGAAGGGCTTTGAGTGCCAAACAGGATTTTGTATTTGATCCTGGATATGAAAGGGACTACAGGAATTTTTTGAGTAAGTGGGTGACATGGTTGGGTGTTGGTTTTAGGATTATCACTCTGGTAGCTTAATGGAGGATGGATTTGAGTGGGGAGATACTTGAGGTAGGCAGGCTCACCAGCAGTAATCTGGGCTGAGGTGATGAGGGTCTGTACCAGAGTGGAGGCATTGTCAGGAGAGAAGGAGGTGTATTCAAGAGATGTTTGCAAAGATGAAAATGACAGCCCTTGGCAACAGATTGGCTATGGGGGGGAGGGGGAGTTGGGGTTAGGGATAGTGAGGAGTCCTGGATGACACCTAGGTTTTAGTCTAGGAGGATGTTGTTGCCTCTATATAATAGAGAAGGTAAGGGGGTAGAGGAGAATTTGCAAAGAAAGAATGAAATGTTTTGAACATATTTAGTTTCAGATGTCTACTGAGATATCTAAAAGGCAATAGGAGATAAGAGATTGGAGGTCAGCAGAGAGGTTAGAGAAGTATAGGTAGATATGAGAATTGTCAGCATAGAGATGTTAATTAAAATTAAAATCAGTGGAGCTAATGAGATCACCAATTGAAATAGTATAAAGGGAGGAGGAGAGGGCCCAGTACAGAACACTGAGGGACATTGATGATTAGAGGATGTGTTCTGGATGAGGATCTAGCAAAGGAGACTGAGAAGGAGCAGTCAGATAGGTAGGAGGAAAACCAGGAGAGAGTGGTATCCTGAAAACTTAGAGAGAAGATAGTGTCAAGGAGAAGAGGGTGATTGATAATGTCAAGGCTGAAGAGAGGTCTTGGAGAATGAGGATTGAGAAAAGGCCATTGGATTTGGCAATCATGAGATCATTGGTATCTTTGGGGAGAGCAGTTTTGATGATGTTTTTGAATGATGGCATTGGAAACTGAATTGTTAAGAGAATGATAGGAGAGAAAGTGGAGGCACTTGTCATATAGAAAGCCTTCTCAAGGAGGATCAAGTGAAAACCTAGTTTTGCGAAAAACTCAAGACTTTCCAAATAAATCAACCTTTTACTTTAGTACTCAATGGTTTCTATATAAAAGTGTGCATAGAAGACAGTGAAAATAGCTTAGAAAATATGGCTCAGGATTAAGAACAGGAAAAGCTTGTATACATCAAATTGCAGGGAGTCAAGTTTGGTCATCATAATTTCATAGTATGGAGTTGCAGTTGTTTTGCTATTGTTTTGTTATTGTTCTTTCCACTTTGTTGTAGTTATTCTTCCTAGGACTTTTTGAGTAGGACCCATTGCCAGGACTCATTGCCAGTAGACTGTCCACTAGGTAATGAATCTTTTCATTCGTCCAACATAATAATTACTGACATTAATATAGTGTTTTAGAATTTACAAAGAAAGTGTTTCAAATTATCTCATTTTATCTGTTAATGGCATTATACTCTTTGGTAAGATTGTTGAATATTGGTCACCCTTGTGCTATTTCTGCTATGTATCAAATATCCTATCTGTTGTACTTTTGCAATTTCTTCAAGTCACATTATGAATATTGTGCCCACATATATTGTTATTTCTGGATTACTGCTTTCATAATTTTGTTTTATTCTGGATTAGGCAGTTGTGGTAATTAGAAGAATCCAGTTTAGTTGAGGCAAGAAGTGTTTATATTCAGACTTCTTAGATTAAATATTTAAAATGCTATCATATGTATCTTTAATATCTTTTGCTTCGGGGGTAGAGCCAAGATGGTGGAGGGAAAGCAGTAACTTGCTTGAGCTCTCTCCCCAAACTCCTCCAAATACCTATAAAAAATGACTCTAAACAAATTCTAAAGCAGCAGAACCCACAAAAAGACAGAGTGAAACAAATTTCCAGCCCAAGATAACCCCGATGGTTGATTGGAAAGGTATATCGCGCTGGTCTGGGAGAGGAGCACAGTTCGGCGTGGGCGCACAGGCCGCAGAGACCCTGGAGCAGGCCTCAGAGGACTGAATTGCGGGCAGCTGTGGTGGTTTCCAGACTTCTCAACCCAGGAACGCCGAAGACAACTTGGAAGGTCAGTGGGAAAAGTCTGTGACTGCAATGACAGAGGAGCTAGGTCTCAGCCACAAGTCTCCAAGCGCGGCCCGGGGCTATGGCTGTTTCTTGAGCTTCCAGCCCACAGACTGAGGGGGAGTCGAGTGGCTGATCAGAGGGGGATTGCAAGGATCTCTTTGCCAGTGCTGAGGCAGGAATCTCTTGCGTTGCCCGTGCTTGAATCTGGGTCACAGTTCTGAGGGGTGGTCCTGGGGCGAGGAGGAGCGCTGGCGTGGTGGAGCTTGTTGTGGTGGTGGAGAAGAAATACTTCGCCCCTTATCATACCACCTTGGAAGAACTGAAAATTTTCGGGTCCCTGGAAGTATCTCCGAAAACAGCTATACAAACCCCCAAAGCTTGGGACAGTATATTCTCCACATTGGAAGCAGACTCTTACCTTAACAAAGAGTTTAAAACTCAAGTAATTGGCTGGGATCATGAGTAAGCAGCACAAAAAGAGTCAGACTATATTATCTTACTTTGGTGACAAAGAAGATCAAAACATACAACCAGAAGAAGACAACAAAGCCAAAGCTCCTACATCCAAAGCCTCCAAGAAAAATGTGAATCAGTCCCAGGTCTTGGAAGAGCTCCAAAGGGATTTTGAGAAGCAAGTAAGAGAAGTAGAGGAAAAACTGAGAGTGGTGCAAGAAAATCATGAAAAACAAGTCAACAACTTGCTAAAGGAGACCCAAAAAAATACTGAAGAAAATAACACCTTAAAAAATAGCCTAACCCAAATGGCAAAAGAGGTCCAGAAAGCCAATGAAGAGAAGAATGCCCTAAAGAGCAAAATTGGCCAAATGGAAAAGGAAGTCTAAAAGATTACTGAAGAAAATACTTCCTTAAAAATTAGAACAGAGCAATTGGAAGCTAGTGATTTTGTGGGAAATCAAGACACTGTAAAACAAATCCAGAAGAATGAAAAATTAGAAAACAATATGAAATATCTCATTGGAAAAACAACTGACCTGGAAAATAGATCCAGGAGAGAATGTAAAAATTATTGGACTATCTGAAAACGCTGATCAAAAAAAGAGCCTAGACATCATCTTTCAAGAAATTATCCAGGAAAACTGCCCTGATATTTTAGAACTAGAGGGCAAAATAGAAATTGAAAGAATCCACTGATCTCCTGAAAGAGATACCCAAAGGAAAACTTGTAGGAATATTGTAGCCAAATTCCAGAGCTCCCAGGTCAAGGAGAAAATATTACAAGCAGCCAGAAAGAAACAATTCAAGTATTGTGGAAACACAATCAGGATAACACAAGATTTAGAAGTTTTTATGTTAAGGGACTGCAGGGCATGGAATATAATATTCCGGAGGTCAAAGGAGATGGGATTGCAACCAAGAATCACCTACCCAGCAAAACTGAGTATAATTCTTCAGGGGGTAAAATGGTCATTCAGTGAAATAGAGGACTTTCAAGCGTTCTTGATGAAAAGACCAGAGCTGAATAGAAAATTTGATTTTCAAATACAAGACTCAAGCGGAACATGAAGAGATAAACAAGAAAGAGAAAATCATAAGAGACTTGTTAAGGTTGAACTGTTTACATTCCAGCATAGAAAGATGACATTTGTAACTCATGAGACCTTTGTCAGTATTAGGGTAGTTGGAGGGAAAAAAATTATATGTATGTATATATAGATATAGATAGATAGAGGGCCCAGGGTGAGTTGAAGATGAAGGGGTAATATCTGGAGAATAAAATTAAGGGATGAGAGAGGATTATACTGGGAGAAGGAGAAAGGGAGAGGTAGAATGGGGTAAATTACCTCACATAAAACAGACAAGAAAAGGCTTTTACAGTGGAGGAGAAACAGGGGAAGGTGAGAGGGAATGAGTGAATCTTATTCTCATAGGATTTGACTTAAGGAGGGAAAACATACACACTCAATTGGGTATGGAAATCTGTCTTACCCTACAGGAAAATAGGGGGAAGGGGACAAGAGGATTGGGGGATGATAGAGAGGAGGGCAGATTGGGAAAGGGGGTAATCAGAAGCAAATACTTCTGAGGAGGGACAGGGTCAAAAGAAAGAATAGAATAAATGGGGGGGCAGAATAGAATGAAGGCATATAAGAGTTAGTTTTTCACAGCATGTCTGCTATGAAAGTGTTTTGCATAACTGTACATATATAACCTACATTTAGTTGCCTGCCTTATCAATGAGGGTGGGTGGGGAGGGAGGAAGGGAGAAAATTTGGAACCCAAACTTTTAAAAATACATGTTTAAAAAAAAATGTTTTCACATGCAACTGGGAAATAAGAAATACAGGAAATGGGATACAGAAATCTGTCCTGCCCTACAGGAAAATTGAAGGGGAAGGGGATAAGAGAAGGTGGGGAGAGATAGAAGAGAAGGCAGACTAGGGGAAGGGGTATTCAGAATGCATGCCATCTTGGGGTGGGGGGAGGGGTGAGATGGGGTGAAAATTTGGAACTCAAAATCTTGTGGAAGCAAATGTTGAAAACAAACAAAAAAGCTATAAAATAAAACATTATGCTCCAAAAAATATCTTTTGCTTCATTAAAAGTGAAAGGGATGGAGAGTCCTCTAAATAGCAAGGTTTGTGTTGTTTACCTAGTGCTTATTATACTTTATTTGTCTTTCTAAATGATACCTTCTCCCCCCCCCTTTTTTTTTAAAGTGTCATTCTTCCACTGCCTCAGAATGTGAAGGATTATTTACTTGATGATGGAACTCTGGTGGTCTCAGGAAGGTAAAGTATAGCTGAACTTGCTTTTTAAAATTATCTTAAAATCATAGAAAGAACTGAAACTTGACATCTTGCACTTCAAGATTTAACTTAGTCTTGCTTCATTACTAAACTGTCACTGTTGGTTGTCTCCCCTCTTCCTAACAGCAATTGCTTCTTCCTCTGTATTCTTTTCTTCCTCTCAGCAGCTCTCAGGCAACAGCTTACACTAATAAGCCTTTATGACATTAAACAGTCTACTTAACTCCTTTACTTGCCTAATTATTAGTTGTGTGACCTTGATTCAGTTTCTGTATGAATGAGGCTATTCGTGTCTTACCAATGTGGATGTGTTGAAATACTTTCAGGCTGTGTGACCTTTGATTGTATGGTTACCGTGTTGTAGTCCATTGTAATTTTGTTCCTTACACACCCTTCTGGTTTAAGTAAAGGAAAAATGTTACTGTCATTTCTTACTTATTTTGGGTTCTTGGTGATAAGTTGGAGAATTATTGATCTTGATAAATATACTAATGTTTCTAATATTTCAGAAATGTATCGAAATTATTTATTTCAAATAGAATTGGTTTTCTTCCACATATTTGATGAATTGACCTTCAAGGAATGTACATCTTAGTTTAGTATTTCTATCTAATATCTTCAGACTCTTGATAACTTGAAAATGATTATAGCAAAACCTCAAGAGTAGGAGTAGGACGTAGGGTGAAGTTTTAGAGTGACAGATAATTCTAACTTATAGGTTTTTTTAAAGAGTTTAATTTTATTATTCCCAAGCATAGTATATTCTGTAAGCTAGGAAACAAAATGACTCAATAAGTAAAATGAACATAAAAAATAATATTCCAAAGTTGAAGGCATATTGAAAGAAGCCTTAATTTCTAGAGCCCTTGGAAAAGATACTAATTTTATATTAGATTTCTTTTAGAAGAAAGAGACTGAAAATTAAGGTAAGAAATTATTTTAGAATTTTTTTACACAGAAAAGAGTCACATATACTAAGAATTTTAGTATGGTAAATGTTAAGATATAGTTTTTTTCACATTCTCTTCTGGGACAACTTTATTAATTTGGATCATACAAACTTTGAATTAGTGATAATACTTCACAAATGAGGTGTTCCAGAAGTTAATCAGTTGAATGGTAGTTTCATAATTTTAAAGTATGGTTGATTATTACTAAATAAGCCCCCCAGAGTGCCCTTTGTGTCAATTTCTTAGGGGTAATTGACTTTTCCTTCACTTTGTATATTTCTGCAAAATATTTTACTTAAGTTTCAGTAAGAAGGTAAAGTTTTGGCATATAATTATACTCTGTGGATCAATCAGTACAAAGTTAAAAGGGCAAATAAAATCATTAAAATTGAGGATTTATTGGGGCAGCTAGGTGGCACAGTGGATAGAGCACTTGCCCTGAAGTCAGGAGAACCTGAGTTCAAATCCGGCCTCAGACCGAACACTTGTCACTAACTAGCTGTGTGACCCTGGGCAAGTCACTTAACCCCAATTGCCTAAAAAAAAAAAATTGATCATTTATTTATGTTTTTATGTTATTATTTATCTAATAAATGAAAAAGTAACAAAAAAAGCATTTATTAAGCTCTTATTATGTGCCAATCATCATGTTAAGGACCAGGGATATAAATAGAGAAGTCCCTGCTCTCAAAGATCTTCCATTCTAATTGGAGGAGACAACACATGTAGGAGGTATCAGATGCTGATACAGGGTAGATGGCAGGATCTGGGAGTTCTGAGGGTCCTTTATGGGCAGGTCAGATGGAGGTGCATGGATGTGTGTGGAGGGTGAAGCAAGAGAGACAGAGCACAGTAAAGCCTGGTGGGCTCTCGGACATCTTGGTAGAGCAGATGGTATGTGAAGAGTACAGAAACTGCATCTGTTAAAAATTTCAGTTACTATATGTGAAAAATAAAATCCTTGTCACTGGGAATATAGAGTTTTAGGTACAGATAAGTATAGAACAGTTAGAGGATTATATTTAATTAAGGTTCTTACCATCACTGGGTGGCTTCTGGGTACAGCAGGCACGTACTCTTAAGAGAGCCAGCTCATTTTCTTCCCCTGCCTCAGTCTGTTACCACCCACATCCCAAAGGTGGACCTGTAGGTCCAGCAGGAGCTGCTACTCTGGAAGCCAAGATTTTCCTTTCCCCCTATATCTCCCATTTTTATGTAAGTTTTATTGATGTGTTTTCACACAGTGAAATATTATATTGACATATAACATTTTGTGCTCAGATTATATTATACCCAGATTATACACCTATATTGTGAAGTTTTTTGTAATAACTTAAAACAAATGTGTCAAACTAATAAAACAGTGACCTCATGTGAAAGTTACTCAGACCTCATCTGTGCAGCATTCCACATCTGTAGCATGTCTCCCCCCCACCTATTTATTTTTTTAAATTTTTTTTAATTTTTTTTAATTTTTTGGTGAGGCAAAGGGATTAAGTGACTTGCTCAGGGTCACACAACTAGTAAGTGTCATGTGTCTGAGTCTGGATTTGAACTCGGGTTCTCTTGACTCTAAGGCTGGAGCTTTATCCACTGTACCATCTAGCTGCCCCTAAAAATTTTTTTTTTTAAATTTTTTTGAGTTCCAAATTCTTTTCACCTCTTCCATCCCTCCCCTACCCATTCTGAAAGCAAGAAATGGGCTATCAATTATATTTGTGAAATCATGCAAAGCATATTTCCATTGTTTAACTTTTTCTCCTGGTTTTGTTCATTTTATTCTTCATCAGTTTATAAAGTCTTCATAATTGTTCACTTTTATAATACTGATGTTATAGTGTAAATTGCTTATCTGATTCTGCTTACTTTACTCTGAATCACTTCATTCCAGTCTATGTCTTTTTAAAATCAATTCTTTCCTCATTTCTTAAATCACAATAGTATTCTATCACATTTGTCTACTACAACCTAGTCAGTCATTCCTCAATTGATGACCAACCCTTTAGATTCCAGTTTTATTTGCTACCACTGTAAAGAGCTGCTGTGTATATTTTTGTACATATAGGCCTTTTCATATTTCTTTGCTCTCTTTTGAGTATGACCTTGGCAATGCCATAACTGGGTCAAAGGACATTCTCGCTTTAGTGACCTTTTGTGAATAAATCCAAATTGTTTTTCAGAATAGTTATACCCATTTTTTAGGTCCATCAACAGTGCATCAAATTGCCTGTTTTTTCATAGATACTTCAACATTTATTATTTTCCTTTAATTTCATTTTTGCCAATCTGATGCCATGTGATATAAGGTGGGATCTTAAAATAACTTTAATTTGCATTTCTCTAATTAGTACTCATTTGGAGCATTTTTTTCATGTAGTCACAGAGACTCTGGGTTTCTTCCCTTGAGAACTGCTTATTTATATACCTAGACTATTTAACAATTGGGGAATAGCTCTTATTCTTATAAATTTGAATCATTTCCTTGAATCCTGGAAATGAGACCTTTATCGAAGAAACTTACTGCGAAGATTTTTTCCCAGTAAATTATTCCCCTTTTTATGTTGGATTTATTGAATTTGTGCAAAAATTTTTATTATTTAATTGTGAACTTTACTCACATCCATAGATCTGATACATAATATTTTTCATGTTTGTCTAATTTGTTTATGATCTAACCTGTTATATCTAGGTCATGTACCCATTTGAAGCTTGTCTTTATATAAGGTATGAGATTTTGATCTGACTAAATCTGATTTCTTCCATAATCCTGTTTAGTTTATATCAGCTAGTGAGTCCTTATGCCAGTAGCTGGTTTCTTTGTATTTGTTAAGTATTAGGGCACTAAATAAAATTTCTCCTGTATATTGAGCACCCAACCTGATCCACAGGTTGCTCTCTCTATTTTTTAACCAGTTGGTTTTGATAAATCAAATCGTTTTGATAATTACTGCTTTATATATAGTTTGGGATCTGATGCTGCTAGGCTCGCCCTGTTTTCCTTTGTTGCAACTGTTTTTTATTGTTTCCCTTGAGATTCTTGAACTTTTTTGCCTCCATACGAATTTTCTTCTTCTTTTAATTGTTCTTTAGAGTCATCCTTTTGTACTTTGGTGTGGCATTAAATAAGAAAATTAATTTAGTTAGTATTTTCATTTTTATTATATTGACTCATCTTACCCATGAAAAATTAATCTTGTTAAAATTATTTAAATCTCTCTTTATTTCTGTAAACTGTCATTTGAAATTATATTTGTATAGTTCTTGTTTGTATTTTGAAAGGTTGACTGCTGAGTATTTTATACATTCTGTAGTAATTTTAAATGGAAATGTAAAATATTTATTTCTTTTCTCTCCAACTCTTCCTGCTGGGTTTTTATTAGTATTATATAGAAATGCTGATGATTTGTGTGGATTTATTTTATATCGTACAAGACTGCCAATGTCCTGATTTTTAAGTTTATTCTGTAAAGTTCTTTTAGTATTTCTTTTTTACGTGTGTTTATTCCCTCAGTTTCTTTTTTTTTTCTCTTATTGCTGTAGCCAGCAAATAGAAGTGGTGACAAAGGGCATCCTTTTTTCACCTTTGATTTTACTGGAAAGGATTGTAATTTATTTCCATGATATATAATAGTAGTTCTTGTTTTGAGAAATATAGTTCTTGTCATTTTAAGGAAAGATCCATTTATCCTTATGTTTTCTCATGTTTTTAACAGAAATGGGTGTTGTATTTTGTCAATAGATATTTCCATATCTATTGATAGAATTATATGATTTTTGTTGTTTTTGTTATTGATATGGTTAATTAAATCTATAGTTTTGATAATATTAAACCAACTCTGCATTCCTGGTATAAAGCTAACCTAGTTGTAGTGTGCAATTTTTGTGATGTGTTGTTTTAGCCTCTTTACCATTATTTTATTTAAAATTTTGCTTCTATGTTCATTAGGGTTATTAGTCTCTAGTTTTCTTTTTTCTCTTTTGACTCTCCTTTCCCTCTGCTCCAGCCTGACCAGCCGACCAGCCTACCAGCTGCACACACCCTAATGGACCTAGTAGGAGCTGACTGTGGAGAGCCCTTCCCCTTCCCTACCCTAACCCTCATGGCCCCCATGGTAGTTATCCTAGCCCTCAATTCTCATTAGGTTCTGAATCTGCTGGATGCTAACCCTTATCCTCACTCCCGAGGACTCAGAGACCTACCTTGTGCCTACTGTTCCTTTTCTAGATCAGGGTTACGGATCGGTGACATAGCTGTTCACAACACTTAGATGAACAGGAAGTCACCAGCTATAATCCTTTCAGTAAGATGGGGGACCACTGGGCTTTACCATCTGCCCTACTCTTGTTCCCTAAGGTCTAACAGGCCGTTACCATCTGCCCTGCCAGACCCATAGGCTTTGCCATCTGAACTACTTATGTACCCTAAAAAATTTCAAGCCTTGCCATCTGCTTTGCTGAGCACACCTTAAGGTCCACTAGGCTTTCCTATTGCCTTGAGGCCAAACACTGTATTCATTGTCTCTACTAATTAGAATGCTAGTTCCTTAAGAATTGGGACTGCCTAAATTTTCTATATGCTTCACTGATGTTTAGCACATAGTAAGTGTGCTTACTTATAAATGTTTATTCATTCATTCATTCATACACTGATGGGTTGTTGAATGGGTTTTTGAAATTTGGAGGGAGAGTTTTGAGGGCAGCTATCACAAATATAAAATAACTCAATGTGAATCACTTACTTTTTTCTACAATATTTCTTTTTGTTAAATTAAAATTTCTTTTCAATTAACAAGTATTTCTGTTCTCTACTTCCCACCTTCCACTAAAAAAAAGAAATAAAAAAAATCTTTTGTAACAAATATGCATAGTCAAGCAATACAAATTCTCATATTGGCCCACATCACTTACTTTTGCTTTTTTGTAAGAGAGATTCAGAAGAGTGGGAAAATAGGAGCATTTTTAGAAGGTAAAATCTTTAATTGTTATTATTATTATTATTATTACTTTTTTTTTTTAGTGAGGTTATTGGGGTTAAGTGACTTGCCCAGAGTCACATAGTTATGAAGTATTATGTGTCTGAGGCCAGATTTGAACTCAGGTCCTCCTGACTCCAGAGCTGGTGCTTATCCACTGTGCCACCTAACTGCCCCCTTTAGTTATTATTTCTATTTAGTTACAGTTCTTTCATTAACCTGCTATTAAAATCCATAGTAAATCATTTAAGTAAATCATTTTCTTTTAGTATAGAAAGGGTATAGCTTTTATTATTTGTACATTTGTCTAAGCTCCTTTGCCTGGTCTTTCATAGTCCTTCACAAATTATTTTTTTCAGCTTTATTTACTATTGCTCACCTATACAAATCCTCCATTTCATTAAAACTAGTTTACCTACTGTCTTTCAAACATAATTTGTACTTTCTTGCTTCCTTTGTTCATGCTGTTTTTCCCACCTTTTTTCCCTTCTAGAGTCTATCCTTCAGAATCCAGTTATGAATGTAGGTGGTAGAGACAGGGAAGTCAGAAAGAACAATAAAGTTTAGTGGAAAGATTGTTTTAGTTTTCGACATGTAGAGCTAGAGGTGAGAGTGGGGCATTGAGGTGGAATTTTCTTATAGGCAGTCAGAAATATGAGCCTGAAGCTTGTGAGAAAAGACAAGAGGTAAAAATGTTTAAGATTTGGGAAGTGCTTGCATTGTGGTGACAGCATCTCCACCAGGAATGGATTCATCCATCAAAAGAGAGAACATAAAGATTGAAGGGAAGAGTCCCTTATTTTTTCTTTAACATGTGCACTTTTATCTCAACTGCTGTCAAGTCAGTGTTCTCTCCACCCAGTATTGGCATCAATCTCATTGAACTTTCAGGGAGGCTGTAGAAAGGTCTTCACTTACTTTTATGTTGTAGGGGTAAAGAAGGGAAAGGAAGGACGTCATTATGGCTCTAGTAATTTATTTTTTATTTTTTTGTTCTAGTAATTTAAAAGAAGAAAAAAGAGGAAAAGCATCAAGGGGGAAGAGTAAAAAAGCTTTTTTTTTGTTAGGATTACATAATTTATATATGCAATATTACTACCTTTCCCTTGTCAGGATTTATGTAATTTGCTCCTTTTGTAGAGCAGAGACTCCTTCATAGAGGCAAGAGTCTTCTTGTGACAATTCATCATACAATACTTGGAATGACTATTAAAAAACAGCAATAAATGTATAGTCAGGGTGCTCAAGATACACTATAGAACTTTGGGGATGTTTGCTTCCAACCTATTTAGACTGCTCATCACCTTCAATGTTCAACTTTTAAAATCCTGAGTCAAGTGCAAAAAAAGCCAAATCCATGCCATTTCATCTCCCTCTCCTTCTCTGTCTCCCTTCCTCTCCCCCTTTCCCTAACCCATCCCTATTTGTTATATCCTACCCTTTGACCTCCCCCCCCCAAAAAAAGTCCATTCAGAAGCATCTGTGGTGGGCAGTTTAGGGCCCAGATTCATCATACTTTTGATCCACATCTCATTGCTGATCCGCATCTGCCAGGAGTACAGAGAAGGAGGCCAGAATGGAGCCTTAAATCCAGACAGAACATATGCAGATCCTTACAGATGTCAGCTTCACACTTCATGATTGAGTTGAAAACAATTTCATGGATACCAGAGGATTCCATACCTAGGAAAGATGTTTGGAAAAGTGGTTCTGGACACTTGAACCTCTCCTTGCTAATGGTGATAATTTGACTATCAGGGTGCTGGTAGCTCTTTTCCAGAAAAGAACTACATGCAGCAATGACCATCTCTTGCTGAAAGACTAGAGTAGTGTGACATAGCTATTTGATGTGCACATAGTTTCCCTCTCATGGTCGTGATGCTATTGCCTTTCGTGGTCGAGATTTTCATGAAGTATTCCATCAGTTCATGGCCAGCCAGATCTAGATGGAAGGTGGCTTGAGGAAGGGTATAACCTTCATGGATGGGCACAGTGTAGGGCATCACAGTGCCAGTGGTGTGACCAGAGATATAAGGGACAGCATAACCTCACAATTTATAGTCATATATATGACTGGAATATTGATGGTCTTGAGCATGATCTGTGCCATCTTTTTTTCATTAGCTTTTGGGTTTAGCAGGGAGGAGTGGGTGCTGTGAACATCACTGGGTGGTTTTCAGGGACTTTACAGTGCTTATTGTAGAAAGTTTGGTGCAAGATCTTCTCCATGTCATCCCAGGTGGTGACAATACCATGTTGATTGGGCCACTTTAGGGCCAGAATACCTCTTTTGTTCTAGCCTCACCCCCCACATAGCTGTCTTTTTAGCCCAATCCCATTGTCATACCTTGATGTCTGGGGTATCCCAACAGTGGAGGGGAAGATAGCTTTGGGGGCAACATCTCCACAAAGCTGACTTTGCATATTTTGATCTTCTGTCTTCATTGAGGGCAGCAATATTATTATCTGTAATGAGCTTTGAAGTAGTAAGTTTAAACCTTTAATAAAATAATACAAATATTAAAATAATGAATAATAAAATAATTTTAAAAAAGACTCCAATATCTAGAGCCCTGGGTTGGGGTGGGGTGGAGGTAGGGGGAGAGTCTAATAAGTGCTGGGGTGGAAGAGCTCACAGCTTATGGCTCAAGGATAAAGTCTTGGAAAGCACTCATATAAAGAAGTTGGAGGAGGAAGAAGAGTCAAAGAAGAATACAAAGAAGTCATAATATGAAGGGAATAGAGAGCATGGTGTCACAGAACCCAGAGAATCAAGACTATCAAAAGGAAAGTATGCACAAAAGAGGATTTGGTAATTTGGAGGTTATTGGAGACTTCTTGAGAGAGGAATTTCAATAGAGTGATAAAAATGGAATCCAAATTGCAAGGAAGTAGGGATTAAATAAGCAATAATATAGATTACTCACTAAAGAAATTTGGTAGTGAAAGTGAAAAGAGAGATGAGGAAAGGCCTTTATAGCAAAGATTGTGTCTTTGGATCCTTCTCAATGCCTAGGATAGTGCCTTGCATGTAGTTGGTATTTAGTAGATAGCTTTAGTTTCGATTGCTAATAATATTAATTTTTTATGTTGCTAGTTACAACACAAACATGTTTAGAAAGTCTTTAGAGTAGCATCATGTCATTCAGTTTATCCAACAAGTATTTGTTAAGTGCCTACTATGTGCTGGGTGCTTTGATAAATTCTGGGGAAACAAAGACCTTAACCAAAGCAGCCTTTGCCTTCAAGGAGCTTACATTTTGTTGGAGGAAGATATGTACGTATAAGGAAGTACAAAATAAATACAAAGTAAAATTCTAAGATGGGAACTAGTATTCCTCCATACTCTATGCTGTTCTCAATACACTCTGTCCCAATCATCTTGGTGCTGCCTTCCATTCATAATTCCATCCAAGGAAAAATTCACTGTTTTGGGCAACTGTGAGCATTCTTCAGCTCAAGGTCAGCCACCTCTTCAACGGGCATGAACAAAAACCTTTTCTTTTTTGCTCAATATATGTGTTTAATCCTCTAGGGAAGATCCACCGACATGTTCTCAACCAGACAGTGACAATGAGGGAGAAGAAATACAGGTTAGTATAAAATAATAGCAGTAGATTTCTATAATATGGATGATTTCTGAAATTGTATTGATAGTTCATAACTTTATTTGATAAACATGAGGTAATAGATGTGAATTGCTATAGAAATATTACAGATTTTTACTATTATTAGCTGTGATTTGAAATGAAATGAGGAAGTGGAGAAAATTTCAACTAAAATATTTTGGATGATGTGTCTAGGAACAAGTTCTCTCGGTTGCAGATATAATTTTGAGGTAGCAGCTCTATATTTTGGAAGCCAAACACTTTATTCAAATTAGTTTCTTTTATTCTTTCTTTTTCTATTCAGTGGTCAGATGATGAAAATACAACAACACTTACGGTAAGGCCAATTTTCCAAGATTTAATTTCTAATTTTGATAAGCTTGGCAATATTTCATTTTTCATCAAATATTTATTGAGCACCTAAGATGTGCAAGATCCTGGGAGAAATTTCAGCATAAGAACTACTTTATTGTTCTTTTGTTAGAATATTTATTGCTTCCCTACTATTTGAAAAGGTTTTATCTAAACTTTCTGAATTCCTAGTCACTTGTAATACCAGCTTTTCAGCAGCATAAAAATTCCTAAATTGGAATCTTAAAAAAAAATTTTTTTCAAGCACTTATTATCTCTCTTTGTGATTCATCATTTCATTGAACAGATATCTAAAGTCTTTCATAATTTTTTTTCTCTATAATATTGTTGTCATTATCTACATTGTTCTCTTAGCTCTACTCACTTCATTCTGCATCAGGTGATAAAAGTCTTCCCAGTTTCTTCTGTAACTTCTTTTTTTAAGTAAGTTTTTATTGGTATTTTTTATTTTACGTCACCATAGTATTCTCCAATATCCCTCCCAGAGAACTACCCCATGTAACAAATCATATTTTTTTTTGTTTGTTTTTGTTTTTTTTTTTGGGGTTAGGCAATGGGGTTAAGTGACTTGCCCAGGGTTGCACAGCTAGTGGGTGTTATGTGTTTGAGGTCGGATTTGAACTCAGGTCTTCCTGAATCCAGGGCCGGTGCTCTATCCACTACGCCACCTAGCTGCCCCCAAATCATATTTTTTTAAGTCAAAAAAAAAAAGAGGAAAAAAAATCAGCCTAACTAATCAATACACCAAAAATGTGTGAAAACTTGTTTAATGTATGATATTTGTGAACCTCTCACCTCGTCAAAGGGGCAGGATGGGAGTGTCTTCTCATATCTGCTTTCAAGTCATGCTTATTCTTTATAATTTTGCAATATTCATTTGGATTTTTTTTGGGGGGGAGTTCTTTCCATTTACATTGTTATAGTCCTTGTTTATATTGTGTTTTTGGCTCTCCTTACTTCACTCTGCATCAGTTCAGGTAGATCTTTCCATCTCTGTAGTTATCACATCCATCATTTCTCACAGCATAATAATCCATTACATTCATTTATCACAGTTTGTTTAGCCATTCCCCAATTGATAAGTGTCTATTTTGTTTCTAATTCTTTGCTGTAATAAAAAGTGCTGTTATAAATATCTTGGTATATATGGGAACTTTCTCCTTTTCAGTGGCCTCCTTGGGGTATTAACCTAGTAATATAATCTCTGGGTCAGAGGGTATAAGCATTTTAGCCATTTATTATTATTATTATTATAATATTTATTTATTAGCATAAATCCAAATTGCTTTCTAAAATGGTTGTAGTGATTCACTGCTACCCTAGCAAAGTACTAACAGTGTACCTGTGTTCCCATAACCCCTCCAACATTGACTATTCCCACATTTTGTCATCTTTGTCAATTTGCAGTGAGTAAGGTGAAACCTCAGGGTGGTTTTGATTTCTCTTATTAGTGATTTGGAGTAGTCTTTCATGTGGTTGTTTATAGTTTGCTAGTCTTTTGAGAACTGTTTGTTCATATTCTTATCATTGGGGAATGGCTTTTGGACATATACATATATATATATATTTGTTAATTGTTTATACATCTTGGATAACAAACCCTTATCAGAGAAATTTGATACAAAGATTTTTTCCCATTCAACTACTTCCCTTCTAGGTACATTAGTTTTGTTCTTGCAGAAACTTTTTAGTTTCATGTAGTCAGAGTTATCTGTTAACTTTTGTAGTTGCCTCTATCCATTGTTTGATTAAGAACACATCTCTTTTCTGTAGCTGTGAGAAGAATATGATCTACTTCTAATTTTTTAATAGTGTAATTGAATGTATTGTGGAATATAACATAAGGTGTTGATCTTAGCCTAATTTCTGCTAGAATGCTTTCCAGTTCTCCCAGTAGTTTTTATCAAATAGGAAATTCTTTTCCAAGTAATTATGTTTTCTGGGTTATTGAACACTGGGCTATTGAATTTCATTGTTTCTGATTCTCTAATTTCTAGTCTGTTCCATTGACTTAGCTCTTGTTTTTTAAACAGTACCAGATGATTTTGATGAATGCTGCTTTATAATATAGTTTAAGGTCTAGAAGTATTATTCCTCTTGATATTTTAGTTCTTTTCTTTTTCAAAATGAATTTTGTTATTATTGTATCAAATTCTGTAATATATACCTTTGATAATTTGGTATAGAATTTGTATAGCATTATAAGTGTAACATCTTTTTTCCTAGCACAATAATATTCTAGTACATTCATATGCTACAATTTGTTTAGCTTTTCCTCATTAGGTAGGCAGTCCTTTAGTTTTCAGCTCTGGGTACTATGAAAGTAACTACTATAGATATTTTTGTGCATATAGATCCCTTCAGTCTGTCTTTGATTTATTTGGAGTATAAGACCTAATAGTGGCATAGTTGAGTTAAAAGGTATGTACAGTTTGGTAACTTTCTAGCATAGTTCCAAATTGCTTTGCAGAATGGCTGGACCAATTCATAGCTCCACCAACAATGCATTAGTGTGTCTAGATGTTGCCTATATATATTTCTCTTCCTAATCCTTTTGATTTGAGGGTTGATGTGGTACAATAGAAAGAGCACTGCACTTGGAAATTTTGGTAGGAAAGTATAAATATTGCAAACCCGAATTAATATTATTTCTACCTTTCTGGACTGGTAGCTTTTAACCTGAAGATTTGTTGTTTGTTTTTTTTTTGTATATCCAGAACAGCTCATTATTCCCTTTCATTCATTCATTCATTCAGACATAATCCTTTCATTCAGGCTTGTTGACTCTACCTGCCCTGTTAATCATCCAATAATGATCAGTTTATCCTAGGTCCCTTTAAGACTGTGAACTCTGAAACACACACCTTTTGCCAAGATGGTAGCCCTCTAGTGGAAGATTAGGAGACTGTATGCCTAGAGCATTGCACTCCAGGAACAAATGAGGCAAACAAAGACACTTGCCACAATGAAAAAACTTTAAGGTTTTCCAGGAAATTAACAAATAGCTTCAGAAGGTGGAGACAGAAGACAATCTAAGATCTGTGGCAAATCTCCTAGATCAGTACATTGGGCCAAGGTAGAACCTCTCAGGGTTTTTTATACAAATAGAACTGTATTTGTGGATCTTCACCCCCAGCAATTGTCCGCCATCTAAGCTTGTGTAGGCATTTTGGTGTCATGTATGAGGAGACAGGCCATCTAATGTATCTTACCTCACAAGGAATAGCCTCTCATTCACTAATATGGAGGACCTTAATAGAATATACTCCTTGCCCAAACCCCAGCTAATTCTTTCCTGGGCCCCCTTTGCCCAATTTTATTTTGGTTCATGTTGTGATAAATCAGCCTCAGATGTGAATTTCATGGAGCACCTCACCCTCTTCACCCTCTCACTAATCATGCCTAGTTATGTTGTCTGAGAAATTCCTCTTAATAATACATTTTATCCTGACCCTTAATTTTGACCTTCCTCCCTTTGGACATTTCAGGTTCTAGGTTGATGGATTCTTGGTCTTCTGGGAAATTTTATAGTTTAGGTTCACAATTAGAAGGAAATAAGCAGTTGAAGTGATTGAAGGTTATCAACATTTTCATGTCCAGTAACTGATTAGAGATCAAATTTTAGGCCTGCATAGGGGGAATATTATGAGTTTGTTAGCTCTTAATAGTAGTTGCTTGTCTGACTTTGCATAATCCAGATATTTCATGTGACTTATAGAAGGTCACATTCTTGTCCCTACACTTCTGGGGAAGCATTGCTGGGAATAAGAATATGCTTCATCCAAGGGATGGCTCTTTGCCAGAGCTTCCTTCTAATACTAGAAATATAGGGATATATTTAACTCATTTGAAACAGATGTTACCAGGCATATTGACTTTATAGTTGTACCAGTAACCTCGTTTTAGGGGCATCAGTTCTGGCTGGCTTTATATATAAAACTCATTTGCCAGGGCCATATATTTATAACTCTGCAGAACAATTGTCAGAAGAGATTTATCCCACTTTTCATCTCTCCTGTCATGTCATTGGTTCTCTTTAGAAGAAGACTGTCATAATCACAGGACCTTGAGTTCCAAAACTATTTAGAATTCATTTATCCTTTTCCTGACACTCCACTTTCTAGACCTGTTATTTGTGGTGATGATACCTGCCAAGTTGAACTTTAGAGCACATCCATTTGGATCTGGACATGAAAAGATCGTCAGTAGGAAATGGTATTCCAAATCTCATGTAGCTGATATAAATACCAGCTCCTGCCATTCAGCTTATATTAAACCCTGTTGTCTTTCAGAGCTTCACAAATTCTGTCTTCTAAGAAATGCTGAACCTGTGATATGATGGTTCGTCATGAGTTAGTCTGCCTTATTCCCTATCATATCCATATTAATCAGTTAATAAATGTTTATAAATCACCAACTATGTGCCAGGCACTGTGCTGGGGATATAAGATGTGAAAAAGAGTCCCTGCCCTCAAGGAGCTTACAATATAATGGGGCAAAACAAAATAGAAAAGGAAGTCGAAAGTGGCGTGGGGAGAAAGTACATGGACATGGAGGCATAGTGGAGAAGTCAAAGAAGTGCAACCAGATGGTAAACGAAGTGGGGAGAAATGTTGACAAGGCTGTCCTGTGCCCCTCCTTAAATGGAGGTTTTGGAGTTCATTGCTCCGCCCTCTAGTCAGAGGGGCAGAGGGTACTGAAGAGGTGGGAGGACCAAAGCTAATTGATCTTGCAAGATGATGAAGTTTCTAGGGACATGGTGGAAAGTCAAAGGAATGTTGTTGGTGGGAAATGAAGAGATGGCTGTCCTGGGCCCCTTCCTTAAATGGAAGTTGTAACATTAGCACCCCCTATTGGCAGAAGTGCCCATTCAGACCTGATGTGGTAGAAAGAACACTGAATTTAGAGTCAGAGGACCTGGGTTCAAATCCTGCTCCTTAATATTTGTGTATTTTTAGAGAAAGT